ATACTTCGATGTAAAAATAAAAGTACAAATTTACAGATAAAATGAATAAAAACGAATGTATACATGTAATAACACACTCGGGGTAAGTAGTGTTCATTTTGCTCTACCTTCCGTAAAAAAGAATTTAAAGGGAAAGATGTCTGAGATATAGATGGACAAAATTGATGGATTTCATTTACACTTCCAAACAAATTAACAAGTATACCATGAACTTGGACTGGAAATATATTCATACCCAGCTAAGCCAACAATGATTTGAACTGTAGGCCTATCTCACCCGTTATTACTTTTAATCGTATAATTGTACGTGTTTTTATTGTTTATTTGTAGTCTCTTTGGTATCATGCAGGGGCGGCGATTTCTTTTCATGACCGGGGGGGGGGGACGAAATGCGAGGAAAAATTTGTATTCCGCGTTGGTATCACCAGTGGTGTAATGAGCAAAAACTTTTTTTTTTTTGAGGGGGGGGGGGAGAAAAATACGCGTCACCACCACTCTTACGCGTAACATGCAGGCCCCGCGAACGTTTTTTCAAAGTGGAGGGGGAGGGCTAAAGTCTTTACGATCAGGTCGAGTGAAGCGTAAATTGGCGTGGGCTCTAGGGGCAAAGCCCTAGCGGGGGTCAAGGGCGGAGCCCCCGGAAGCTCAGGGGTTTTAGGCATTTAATTACGTTTAGATGAGCACATTTTTGACACCTTATTAGTGAAACTGGCAGGTCACTAATTGTGGAGTTCAGGGGGCTGAGCCTCAAATCAAATTACGGTAAGATGAGCATTCAGGGGCCAACCCTGGATCCCTTGGTGGGGTCCAGAGCCCCCGGAAGCTGGGGTTTTTTTCGGGGGGGGAGCTCGAGCCCTCGAGCCCTGCCGTTCCGTTGGCCCTGACATGTAGACTTCTTAATAAGCATATGTTTTGCCTGACTGTAAATTTGGGAATTTTTCATTGTCCAACAAACGCATAAAGACGTATAATTTACACAAAGGTGACATTTGTAAATCACGGGTATCGAATTAGAAATAAAACAAGTTTGAGTTTTATTTGGGGGAGGCAAATGCCCCCCACCCCCGCCACATCAGTACGCTAGTGGGTATCACGGTGATACCAACGGAATACAGATTTTGGACAATATTTACGAGGGATTTTGCGAGGGAGCGTAGCGACCGAGCTAGAAGATTTTTGCATTTTATTAGTCTAAACGCTGCACTCTTGGGCCCTCCAGAGCCTAAAAGTGTGTTTGCAGTCTTTAGTTAGTATTCGCAATACATCTACTTTATGCACTTTTTCAAATTTCAGGGGGACGATCCCCCCCTAAAAAATTGAGGGGGGGGGACGTGTCCCCCCGTCCCCCCGGGATCGCCGCCCCTGGTATCATGTTTACAAATAATTCAATTAGTAATATTGATTTTTCTTGAAGTAATCTTGATTTTTGTACAGCGCTTTGGAACTTGTATGTTACAAGCGCTATATAAATGTTTGATATTATTATTATTATTAAATAACGTAGATGTATAAGTATAGAAAATTATATTTAGTCTAAAATCACCATATTTTCTTTGTTTTGAAAGGGTGGCGTTATGATATATTATAAAGTAGTAAACATACGATGGGAAATATAGAGGGTAATTATTGTATTAATTATTCAATTAAGAGCATGTTGAATATTGCATGAGGAGACAAATCCTTTGTATTACTGGCGTAATTTCCGTACTTACACTAACATGCCGATTTAAAATATTAACAAACAATCAAAGAATAGTATATTTTGAATAAATTGTGGTGAAAGGTTATGAATTTGGTGTTCCTTTTGATTACATTGTTGAATTTGTTTGTTCATCAGTTTCTTCTGTAGTCAAATAGAAAGCGTCAGACTTTCAGGTTAAACCGCCCTCAACCACAAAATATTCTACGCTAATAATAATTCACCAAGTCTCCCGCCAAGTCTACATCACAATGATGACTTTGATGGCAAACATGGCAGTCATAGTTATGTAAGCATCAGGAGTAATCTGTTTTTGGTGAGATGAATGATTTGGAGGGAGACATTGTCAACCTTTCTTTAAAGGTAAAGACCAGTATTGGAAACGCCCCAATTTCAAAAAAAGAAATGGAAGCTCTCATTACCAATCATGTGAAAGAATATGTTTTGACTAATACATGATGATACAAAATTTGCCGGGAAACCGCCTACTAATTCATATATTTGGTAAATTTGTTTCTCCCATGGTCTGTGAGAGATATAGGGTAGTCCCATATACATCTTTCTGTGTATAGTGCTTGTAACTTTACGAAGAATGGGCCAAATTTCTTATCATTTTGATGATTCCAGAACCTTGCAGATGCTAGATGCTAGATGATCAACCTTTTCTGATAGATTCCACAACGTTTCTTTTACAATGCAATCGCATGACCATAACTGGTCTTTACCTTTAAGGAACCCAATATCCTAGATGTGCAAGTGGAGCTGAAATGAGAATGTAAGACAGATGAAAAGAATCAATGAGTATTATGAAGATTTTCCAATAACTCCATCTTTCTCTCCCCCTCTTCTCATTTTCTCTGCTCTTTCTCCTTCTCTCTCTCTCTATATCTCTTTCTCTCTCTCTCTCTCCCTTTCTTTCTCTCTTTATATATATATATATATATATATATATATATATATATATATATATATATATTATATACCGTGTGAGTCCAAAAAAAGTTTACACCCAGAAAGTTGTCATTTATCATAAAAGTCAGCTATATGAACGAAGGTTATCACACATATTTTGAAAGAGTGTTATACCCAATTTTTGCACTTTCTTAAACAATGTCTCCTGTTCATCCAACCGTGACCACATACCACACAAAAAATTATACCAAATTATTTGGGATAAAAACACTCTTTCATAAGATGTATAATAATTTACTGTTCATAAATGATTTTAAAAATAATTAGCAATTTTCTAGATGTAAACTTTTCTTGACTCACACTGTATATATCTATGTTTCTGTCTATTAGCCTCTGTGTGAGTATCCCATTCTCCTGCTCTCTCTTCCTCCCTTTCATGGCCTTTTCGTTCTCCTTCTGCACATATCTGGTCTCCTCTCTTCTCCTGTGTTTTGCTGGCTCTGTCTCTCTTTCTCTCTCTTTCTCTCCTCTCCTCTTCTTCTTCCCATGATCACATCTCTCTACCTACCTACCCCTCTCCCTCCTATTCCCCTCCCTTCTATCCTCTACTCTCTCTCTCTCTCTCTCTCTCTCTCTCTCTCTCTCTCTTTCTCTCGCTCTCTCTCTCTCCCTCTCAAATTAAATTCTTTGTTCACTCGTCCAAAAGACTTCATCAATTTTACATTACTTTTTTCGTTTTGTTTTGATTTTATTTCCCAATGTAATTAGATACATGGACATATACAGACAACATTGTAACAAATCACAATTAATCATGCAAAACACTGAATGGAAATTCCCAGTCCATTCTACACTCAGCTGCAAATGTTGAATCATTGTTCCGATACAAGATACATATTTTTGCACAGTAACAAATCCAGCTCATTACATTGAAGCAAATTGCATTTCTAATGGATATAAAGTTGCCTTACAACAGGGGCCAAATTATTTGTAAAAAGAATATTTTGCTTTGGATATTAGGGGTGCTATGCTGGCATCACCTTTAATAATAATAATAATAATGTTTAATTTTTATATAGCGCTTAATACAAATGTCTCTAAGCGCTTTACAAATATACTATTACCCCGGTCATTGGATTCAGTGCTTTAAATGATATATCTACGTAGACATATTGCAAGTTAAAACCCCAAAATAATGCTCTAATGAAACAAAGGGAAATGGGACATATAAATGTGAGTTGAGTATTTGACGCGTTTTCATAAAACTTGCCATGCACAGAAAAGATTCAAAATAAATTTCACTGAAAGTCATTTAAAATTCCCTCAATTTGACAATGATTTAGCAGTCTCTTATGATCTGGGAGATTTTGTAATTCTTCAAAAATTCTTAGATGAGGTAAAAAAAAAAAAAAAAAACATATATACAAATCAATATCCATAGTACAAAAAAAACAGAGCAATCTAATGAGAAAATAAATTTATTTCTTTCCCTGAAGCCGAAAATTTACACTGAAGGCTTTCTCAGAAGTTCAAGTAGATGCCAACTCGTATTGGTCCTTAGTTGACTCTACAAAGTAACTAGAATTTCTAGTTCCTGCTGATGCATAATAAATGGGTGAATGTTTGTTAAGTATGTTTTCAAGTGTGTGTAGTATTAGCAGATTTTTTTTTCTTCTTCGAATAAAGTCTTTATTAAATTTTTCTCAAAGCATAAAACCCTAAGAGCAAATGTACAAAATGATGGATACTTAATTTGACAAAGAAAGGTACAACGAATACCAAGATTCTAGATAAGTTGGACAAACCTCCATCTATCAAGAAATAAAATTAACAACCGCGTTGCGTATCGATTGTTCAACTTCATAATAATAATAATAATAGTGGGTTCTTGTATAGCGCTCATGTCAGTCGGATTTGACCCTCCTGGCGCTCCCGATTATTACCCTGGCTTTAGCACGGCTGCCATATGGTGCTCTAGCATTTCAAGGAATAAATTCCTATCAGGTACCCATTTACTTCACCTGGGTGGAGTGTGGCAAATGTAGATCAATGTCTTGCCGGACCTTGTGATCGACAGTCCGGCGACGTATCCACTCGACCACATATCTAAATTCCTTTTGAAAACGTGAAAATGATAAAGATCCTTCAAACATATAGTTAAAAGTATATAATATTTTGAATACAAAATAATGAAATTAAAAGAGAAATAATTTCCACCTGTGATGCTTAAGATGAAATTATTAAATGTTAACTTAATTTCATTTTTTTTAAAGGGTATATAACCCAAGTTTCTAAGCAAGATTGTTTTTTGAATTATCACTCTTATCTAAAATGTTTATGATGGAGTCTGGAGATACAAAGACAACACTCACTCTCAGTTAAGATTGACCTGAAGTACACTCACACCAGGAACAGTACTGTGTAATGACATTGTCCCTGCTCAAATTGTTACCAAACTGTCAGTAGCAGTTCTCTCTCTAGTAAAATCTAAATCTTCACAAGAAGTGATGGAAGAAAAGCGCAGACAGGGGAAGGCTACAGCTCCCTGTAGACCCTGTAACCAAGGCTCTCCTCGCCTAATGACTCATACTAAATCATGCCCCATTGATCCTCGTACTTGAAGAAACTGCAAAGAAACACTTAACTGAATTATTTATTCATACCCTTACCAAGTTTTGTACCTTCTTTAGTACGTGAAAAATGTATTTGTCCCGATTTACGTTTCTTCAAATCTTACATCTATGAGTATTCCACATTCGAACAGTCCACCTTTCATTCTTGAATTACCAACCAACAACCCCCCCCCCCCCCCTCCCCCCAAAAAAATGATAAGGGCTGTGAATAATTCTGTTAACTGTATATCATCTGTTGAGAGCCAGAAGGGTGTTAACTCTTTGTGAAAGTAAGTGATTTAACACCATTCTGGCTCCAACCTGACAATATATAACATTTTAAAAGACTTGCACAATGACCATAGGTTTTTTTAAATGAGAATTTTTTAAGTATTCAACAAATTTCTACTGATAGTATTCACAGACAATCAATAATTCAATTTTGGAGAAAATTGCATGCCATCCATCCATTGGTACATAGTAAATGCATTACATAAAGATGCATGTACATTATAAAAATATAAAAAGATATGTGTACATGTATTTGCTCTAAAGATAGACATAAATTATTAGAGAAAATGGAGAGGCAACGAAAATTAAATTCTGTAATGTTGTAAACATTATAATTTTTAACATTTCTCCAAAGTCTCTGGTTTTACTATATACAAAAAGATGGTTCTAAATAAATCTCATTTATTTATGATGGCATAGTTAGGGTAATTTCAAAGACCATTAAACATTTAAATTTGAAGGACTTTATGAACAGGTGATGCAGTGAAGTTCCCAGGCCTTGTTGCAGTTACAAAGGAATCGCTTTAAGCAGGGCTTGAAGTCAGGAATATGTATTTCACTCAGTTATTGGCTTGAGTAAACTAAAGTACTTATAATAATAAATAAAAAATGATGATAATGCAGGTATTTATAATATGCATCATATCCACCCAAAGGCTACTCAAGATATATCTTCTCATCAACTTTACTGATCTGTTATGGCAAAGTTAGGGTGATCAAGTTTTAATTGATTTGAATTCAATAATGGCAACTCTTTCTAAGACAGGGCCCAAATTATGTGTATGCAATGGTTCAAAGTCAATGGAGATAATTTACATTTCAGTGAATTAGAACATAACAGAACTCAACAATGAGCCACATAGAAATTGACACGTAGTACTCAATCTGTCTCTCATATTGCACGACAAATGCTCCTGATTCGTTCACTCCTGGAGCAGTACTGATGTCGCCATGGTTACGTCATTGTTTGACATGGTCAGAGCTTGCATCACGGCCCCGCGGTTGAATCCCATATCAACGAGCTGCTCGATCTGAGGATGGAACAATAACAATAATAATAATAATGATAATCCTAATAATTTTGTTTACCAAGGGAAGCCTCATCAGCACCAATGCTGAGAGGCCTGTAATCATCATAACCCAAGCAATTTCCAGGTACCCATTTACACTTGGTTGGAAAGTGGCAAATGTGGATTAGAGTCTTACCTAAAGGCATAAGTGCCGGGCTGGCATTTGAACCCTCAACCCTTGGATTGAGAGTCAAGTGAACGAACAACTATACCACGACAGAATTAGATGTTTGGATACGTTTCCCATTTCAATAGACATTAAGCAGAACTTTATTGTATGTTTCTTTTTTAAATCAATATATCAAGGGGTAAGAAAAGTATGTCAAATTACATTTCAGGCCACTGATTAAAACGCCTAACAATCGATGATGCACGGAAGGTGGAATATCTTTAAGAGGAGACTTTTAAGTGTACCAGGTATGCAATTAGAGCAAAGTTTTGTTTATGGTTTATCAATGACATACCCATCTGCCATTTGATAAATGATTTAACATTTAGTTCACGCCAGTTACACTCAAAGAAATTTCTTAATCAGAACTCAATATTAGCTTAAACAATATCTATAGAGTTCGGGGCCCTGTTTCATAAAACTTGTTTTCAATAACAAGTGCTAAATTTCTATGACAAATTTGCTCTCAGCCAATCAAATGCCATGATTTCAGTAGCTTATAACAGTTAGTGTAAATTGTTAATGATAACATGTTTGATGAAACAGGGCCCTGGTCATTGGAAGATCTATTAAAGCCCATCTGTACTAGTGTACAGGAGGGATTAGGCCACCCTGCAAGGTCACTGACAGGTGGTTATCTCATCAAATCAGCTCTCAACTAACATAAGAAAAAGAGGATCATGGGGGACCAACAGCCACCGATTAGGTATTGTTTGCTATATAGAGGGCGCAAGTAGCTATAAGTAGTGCAGTGGGGCTTTAAAGTCTTATGAAGGAATTTACCTTGTCTTCTTCTGTATCAGATCCGCCATGAGCCCTGCTGGTACTGGGCTGATCAGAGGCATCTTGGGACACCGGCGGTGGTGGTGGTGGTGGTGGCGGTGACGGGGAAGGGGGACTGGTGACGGGCGGGGTCGAGCCGTTTGCTGGTGGGAAGTTTATACCTATGCGATATTATGGAGAGAAGAAAAACCTTTTTTAAACACCCGTAGATCCATGGTTACCTATACTCTGCCGAGCTACTTTCCTTGATTTTTCTCTCTTCGGTTTCTCCCTCTCTCTCCCTCCCTTTCTCTTCTGTTTCTCTTTTGTTCATTCTCTACCCACTTTTCAAAATGTCCAATCTTATTTTTAATTCTGCCTACATCTCTCTCTCTCTCTCTCTCTCTCTCCCTCTCTCTGTCTCCCTCTCTGTTTCTGTTTCTCTCTCTCTTCCTCTTAATCTGTTTTTTTTCTCTGTCACCCTCACTTTACTTCTCTCCTAACTTCTGTATCCCTCTTTCAGTCTCATTACCTCTTCCTCACATATTATGTCAGCCTCTCTCTCTCTCTACCTGTGTGTGTGTGTGTGTGTGTGTGTGTGTGTGTGTGTCTCTCTCTCTCTTATAATCCTCACTATCACTGACTTGCTTTCTCTCCCTTCCTTCCTCACTCACTCCCTTTCTCTCTCTCTCTCTCTCTCTCTCTCTCTCCCTCCCTCTCCCTCCCTCCCTCCCTCCCTCCCTCCCTCCCCTCCCTCCCTCCCTCCCTCCCTCCCTCCCTCGCTCCCTTCCCTTTCTTTCCTCCCTCCCTCCCTCCCTCCCTCCCTCCCTCCCTCCCTTCCTTCCCTCCCCTCCCTCTCCCTCCCTCCATCACAATCAGATCGATACACAATTCTAACATGAAGAATCGCACCTCCGTTAGGCTCACCGTTCCTCACACTGTTCTGCTGACGAGGGCCACTACTCCCTTCCTGTCTCCTCAAAGGAAAAGTCTGTGGATTAAATATCACGAGACAGATAATGATAATGAAGATTTTTATGACTACGTGTAATTGTCAAGCAGGAGTATCCATCACTGGGTGCAAATGGCACACACCCTCTAAATCCCATTATGTCTCATGTTATCTTTTTTTTTCTTTAATTGAAAGTCAGATCACTCATGCTGAATGTTAACCTGCCTGAGGAACTTGTACTCTAATCTGTAAACTTTTGTCCTGGGTTCTTTTACATTCATTCTTTGTTTGAGTGTTGAATATATTTTACAATATAGATGTATTAATCAACAATAAAGAACTTGGGCCATTGATTTTAGACGAATGGCAGGCATGGAGAGTGGTGGAACTCCCTCCCATCATTTCTTCGCAAAATTGACAACCTGGACCACTTCAAAGCTTCGCTCAAGACCCATATCTGCCTTCAGACATTTAAATGCAAACTTTATTGGAGGAGCTCGCACCTTGGAATGTATTTTTAAACAGGTATTTGGCGCCATACAAATGCTCTGCATCATCATCATCATCATCATCATCATCATCATCATCATCCATTATCATCATCATCACCACCACCACCACCACCACCACCTTCACCACCACCACCACCACCACCACCACCACCACCACCACCACCACCATCATCACCATCACCATCATCATCATCACCACCACCACCACCACCACCACCACCACCATCATCACCATCACCATCACCATCACCACCACCACCACCACCACCACCACCACCACCACCACCACCACCACCACCATCATCATCATCATCACCATCACCATCACCATCATCATCATCATCATCATCACCACCACCACCACCACCACCACCACCACCACCACCACCACCACCACCACCACCACCACCACCACCACCACCACCACCACCACCACCATCATCATCATCATCATCTACTACTTATGATACAACTGACGTACTTGTCTTATCGGTCTCCTAATAGCATTTTGTCTCTGAATACTCCTGAACCTCTGAGCCTGAGCGAGCAGCATCCTCTGTTCCATCAACTCCGTCCTCTGCTGCCTCTGGATCTCCAGCGTTGCACCCATGGGCACAGCGCCCTCGCTTGGCGGACGAGAGGACAGCAGCCAACCGAACGCCCCGTGACAGAGAGACGACAACGTCTGTGGAATCGTCACCCATGTTTTGACGTACAGGAAGTTTAGACGATAGAGGATGCCTGCCGTGATCCCATAGGCGATGGCAAGAGGTGTTGTGTGTGTGAGGGTTGTCAACTGTAAAAATACAATCATAATAACATACATTCATCTGCATGCCGAAATACATGAAGACATGTAAACTCTCCATTAGCATGGGAAACAAATCACACTGACCCCTGATGTTATCAAATATTTCATTGCTTTCTATACCATAACCTGTTTGTTCAATACAAAGTCATACACAGAACCCAACAGATCTTTGCATTTTCAGAGAAATGCCATTGGCATTTGATCAAATCACAACTTATAACTTTATAAATCCTTTATCAGATTTTCCTCAAGCATCAATCGCAACTTGACAAATTACATATCTTTTATCAAAAATTTCCTCAAACGTTCATATCATTTCATCAAATTTGGCAAAAATAACAACTTTTTAATCAATATATTCTTTATCAAATTTTCATCAGTGTAAAAAAAAAAATCACACTAACCCCCAATTTTATCATATATTTCATTGCTGTTCATATCATAACCTGTTCAATACAAATTTCAATGCAAACAGTGGCATGAACTGCCTGCCATAGTTAAGTCCAACTTAAAGTCAATCTTAGCCTTTCTGAAACACCCCCCCCCCCCCCCAAATCTACACAAGACAACTTACATAGATACCCAAGATGTATGATACCCACTTCCCTGCGACAACATCGGCCAGAAAGTGACTCTGCGATGAAACGTTGGGAATGTCCATAAAGAACGGTACAAACATTGAAAGTACAATGCTTTGCCTGAGAGATGAAATAAGCACAAGGAATAAAATATTAAATCCTCTTTATCAAAGGCACTGATTAACAATGTTTCCAGTTTTACAAATCTGTGATGCATGGCCCTACGTGTTATCAGTGTCTGTGATATGGTTTGATATTGAAGCCCTTAAAAAATTGTGCTTCAAAATGATCATGAAGTGCCATGAAAAAGTAAAAATCTTTGAGTGACCGGTTTTACCGTACTCATTTTCCCCCATAGACTGTAGTGTTATAAAACCCGTTGGGAATTCCAATCATAAATATCTTGATAATCAGACAGGCGATCGGTTTGTAAAAATCATGGGATTCCTGACTGACCTGAATGTTTATATTATGATTGCAGCATGAGCTATGAACCTGAGGCAAACATACCCAATCCCTTTAATATGCCTGGAAAATTATATATTTTACAGGCATACAATTTTATTTTCTACGACCCTTGTAGTCTATTGAAAAGTATAGTATGGCATTGTCAGAAAAAAACCCAAAAATGTATAGCTTATTTACAAAATGTGGTGATGGTTGAAAGACACATGCCCCTACAAACAACTGGTCATTTCTTTCCATGAACTGAATTCATAACAAACCCTGTACCCAAGACTTATACTTGACCCTAACCCTAACCAAAGACCCAATTGCAAGCCTAACCCTAACCCTATACATTTGACGCAATGTAGCCCAGAGAAATTGTCACCATGGCAAATTTCAGCTTAACAGAGGGCTCCATTTCATGAAAAATAAGAAAGCTTCATCAATATTTCAATGAAGGCAACTGTTTTTTTAATTTACTATTATTAACAAAAATTTTAAAAAACAGCAATGTCAATCTGCATATCACACTGAAAGTATACTTGAAACCTGGTTGCAATTATCAGTTTCAAAGAATGATGTTCAGGATAAAGGTCATAGAAAGAAAAGGAAAGAAATATCAAACCAATGAGAAATTGCTGCTGAAATCAAAGTAGGTGATGCATTTCGCCTCATAGGTACATTCAAGAAAGATTTCAATATTAACTATCATCATGAATTATCCATTTTAACAGAAATGTTGAAGGAGCAGACAAGAAATTCAACTGTCAGCCAATTTATTTACTTATCTATTCATTTCATGTGCATTCTAATGCCTGCATATATATATATACAACTGTTCTCGTTCTTAAATACAATATTCTGTTATACTTCTCTTTATCATTTTGTAATATTCATAAAAACATTATGTATTGGTTGTTTATATCTTTATTAATACATCCTATGGATGTCTTAAAGGATATGACCACATGACTTACGGTCCACACAACGTATGAGGCAATACCCTGTACTCTAGCGCCTCTAATGCGAATATGGCGGCCACTTCAGCTCCGATACAAAACAGACCATTAGCTACAAGAAATGACTGATATGAGAAAGAAATCAAAATTTTGAATAATCATTACAACAATTAACGACAATTATTTACTATTTACTATTTACAACTACAGCTTTATTACCTGTTAGCTCCTTTTGTTATCATTTCATCATCATTAAAGGTGAAATTCAAAGAAAATCACAAACATGTCAACTAATGTATCACTAGAAACTTGTTGGCTAACAGATGGCCATCGTACAAGTTTGAGGTCAGCTACATATCGGGTGATTTATAAAATAAAAATACAACCACCTCCATAGCAGCTGGGATATACGAGAGATTCGCCAGAAAAATAACGATGTTTTAATGACGTCATAACAGGGACCAATACTGCCCAAGCAGACGACATCCCATAAAGAATGAACATAATTGCAAAGCTATTATTTCTCAAATTATAATGAGTTTAGTGTATATAAATGTAATGGCATGTCAAACCGATCAAAAGGGGACATGACCCGATTCTGATAACTAAAATAGTTTGCTTGTAAATACTCAGGATAGGGGTTAATTAACAATCAAAGAAACCAGACTTTCAAATTGAAAAGCCCCCGGATTGATATTAAGGACGGCATGTGTTCCCTCTTGAAACGCCGAACATACCCCGGTGTGTGCAGCTGAATATACAATGGCGTCTTATTTTGTTTACAAGCGACAGATTCCTTTATTTTTGTATCGCTGCATTTGTCATCAAAATAAAACCATGCGCGGGGTTTAGAGTGAGGCAATAGATTATACATTTAGCCTGACGGTAGTGAAGTAAGAGAAAGAACTCAAGAGAAGATGAAAACACAGGCACTGAAAATGTGTGAGATGTCATGGGACATCGTCTGCTTGTGCAAATCATGTCCCTGCTGTGATCTCACACATCTCAGCAGCGTTCGGAGAGCTATTCAGGTGCTATGCCGGGGCTGTATTTAAGCGTTTTGTAATTTATAATAATCATTACTTCGAATATTTCCAAGCATTGAATTTTGATAACCTTGTCGAATCAAAGTTTCAACTTTGCAAAAATGAAAATAAAGCTGGATTTAAAATCAATGAATATCTACTTTAAGTAAAGTTTACATTTTCCCTCTTATGAGGGGTTACTGAAATTCGCGCCATGATGACACTCCCTCCCTCCACTTCTTCTTGTCTGGAGCAACCTCCTCGTTTAGACCAACCTTACTGCTTTCTTTCTTCACCATAACTTTTCACAAAATCCTTTCTTCGTATGCAGTCTATATTTATTTGTTATTATCATTTTTTTTCTGTAATAATGAAGTGTGCACATTTGGAAAGAGTTGCTAAAAGAAGCTGCATACTACTCATGGATGATTATAAATACAATCTTTCATTGATGTATGATCTCTATGTCTTTTTATTTTCTTCTCCAAAAACACAAAAATAGTGATTTAGAATGTTAATTTTATAACGTAAAACTTATCATAAAATCGTGCCTACATGTATAACCAGAAAAAATGATAATGTACTTTCTACATCTATTGACAAGACATAAACGAAAGCTTTAAATATTATCATTAAAATGAGTACATATATAGTTTAGTAGTATCTTTTCATCATATTTCAATTCATTAACATCATATTTTATGTGGACAATCCATTTTGGTACCTTGGCTATTGCAATAGGTCAGTGACCTTTGAACCAAGTCCAGGGATCATGGTCGACCTTTAACCTTTTACTCTCAACCCAGATATCTGAATGTTTGCAACTGATATAATGCAAGCACGGTCAATATCTGGGTGTTCCAAGTTATTTATTTATTTATTTAATGATATTTTTACTGTAAATCTGTCTCGCAGCCTAAGATCTGGCTACACAGAAACACTGATACTTACAACAAATTTTGCTGATCCATACCGCCTCTCCAATACTCTGAAGTGGTAGAACAGTGATGCTCCAAGGAGCAGCGAATGAATCTCAAGAAAGGCCAACTTGCAGGTCACCAGGCGCCATAACTAAAAGAGAGAAGAAGCCTGTTAAAAACTGGCTGTAAGAATTGCTCTTCTCTGGTGTAAGCAAGTCATAACATAATTAGACGTGTATTAATATATTGGAATAAAATGCAAGACCTCAAGACTTGTATCCAAGTTTGTTTGTAAGAACAACTATATGAGCATATGTGCATAAATCACTATACTGTCATTACAATCCATTCCAGGCACGCTGGCTCAGTGGTAGAGCAGTGGTCTTGTATCCGGAAGGTAAAGGGTTCAAAACTAATTTGACACACTAGTGCCTTTTGGTAAGGCATCAATTCTCAATACCCAGTCCCTCGTATAGGAATTAAGGCTTTACCGGTAAGTTAAAGCCATCAGTCACCTGGTTGCTTATTTAGTTACAAGTAGCACATGCTTTTTTAGCAGTCAGGCAAAACAAACAAACAAACCAAAAGATAACAAAGTATATGTGACAAGTTCATAGATAATAATAGATAAGTAAGACAATAGAATCAATGTCATTACATAAAATTAATATACATGAATAGAATATATATATATATTTCACTGAATTCATTTACATCTAGGCGAGATGATGGCCACGGCATGTGACTTTGACATGCAAACCTTCTGTTTGCAGCCAGAAGGGTGTTCCCATATATATTTTAAAAAGGAGTTAATGCCCCTCTGGCTCTAAGTTGACCCAGAAAAAAATCATACCTGCATGATGCAATCTCAAAAAACCAATTACACGATTCACACAAACATAGGGCTGTTCCATTTTATGATGGGGTCATGGGGTCAGCCGGTCAGGAAATATTTTGCCGAGGGGTAGCTCAGATTGTATTATGTATCAGATGATATTCTAAAATTGAAGAGGATTCTCATAGGATTTTAAGAATACTGCAGAATAAACTGCAACATACATGTACCTCGCTGCCAGCTAGCAGATAATCATTGGAGTAGACAAAGTAGTTCTGGTATTTCGGACCTAGTAAAACCAGAGAGCCGGAGATTACGCTTCCAAGGATCAGGAGAGCTTTGCTGACAGGAGTCTTATCTGTGTTTAAAGAAAATCAGAATTCATATTAGCTGATTATTTAGCAAGCTTTTCAATAATGGCACATGGTAAATATCTCTCTTTGATACAGAATATTCTTTGGATACGCTTTTGCGAAGCAGCATGTATTCTAAGACTAAGGCTAGAGCACATCCAAAACCAAAGCAGATTTATTTTTCAAGAACAAATGACATGCTAGCATGATCATGCATTCATATTATTACCCCAGACCAGGCATACTACTATGACTAGTACGAGCAACGGTAGATTTCCAATCAAAAATTTGTCCAGCATCGCTGAGTTGAATTTTTTGTATTTTAATGCTATTTAAAAGTGCATTGCGCGATATGCAAGTGTACACGTACGCACTTTGCTTAGCTGCATGCGCTACTTGATCTCCACCTCCGTTTTCTTTGGAAATATGGAGATAAACCTGCTCTTTCATATGACACCTCATTTATTGAGTATCACATTTAGGATCGCTAGCAATAAAGGTTTGAATCTTAACATAATTATAAAAACATTGACCAATTTTACATGATCGGCCACGCTATTATCAGACACCCTACACTACACCGATTTTGAGTGAACTCAGTTGAGTTTTGTACAGTAAGGTTTGAAATATTTGAGAATCAATAGAGGTTGTCTGAACAGTTTTTAATACACAGCCAGGATAGTAATGCAGCTATGTGTGACTTTAATAAATAGGAGTCTCCTCACTCTGCCCTAGGCCTACATGGTTTACAACGTGTGGGGCCGACTCATGTCATGTGTGCAACTGAGCATTTTCCTGTTTGTACTAAAAAGTAAGAAATAGTTTCACTCACAAAATCCTGATGGACTGTATGGCTGTGACATCTTTCACACTGTTTTTTAAATGTAATAAGTACATGAAAGTTGGTAATTGTGCAAGATCAGTGCAGTGTCGCCGCAGTTGTATCACACAGTTTTATATGCATGAGTGATTATCGACGTCATTAGATCACAGACTGCGCATGCGCTTTTTTGTAGATAGGGAATTTCCCAGTTACGTATTACTAGATGAATTTGATTTTGAGATTCGGCTCGATGCTTGCAGAACATCATACATGTCAAGTTATTTCCTATAGTTTCTCATCGGAAGTTTTCGAAAATGATGAGCAAGTGGTCTATATTGTTTAGTGTGTGATATTTTCATTTACATAAAATGTCAACAGCAAATTTCTTGATTTTATTAAAATTGTGCATGGCTAGAGGCCCATGCAAACCAAGGTGAAAATGCACTGGGCCTAGAAATGCCTCTTGAGGATTTTCTTACCCTAATGCTTTGCAATCGCAATTGAATATTGCTGCCGATTTGCTGCACTATAGATGGTCAAAATTTGAGGGGGCAGATTGCCCAGACCAGGAGTGGGGTTAATCCTTGCCCCTGTTGAGTAAGAAAATGTTGCATTTTGAAGTGAAACTGACACAAATACAAATTCTCTCTGTGTCTACTTTCCTGTATGTCTTCTATCTTTTACTCCTATCTCCACTAATGTATCAGGGCAGGCGCGTAGCCAGGGGGCGGTGGGGCGGTCCCCCCCCCCCCCCCCAAAAAAAAAAAAAAAAAAAAAAAAAACGCCGGCCAAAAAAAGAAGAGAAAGAAGAAAGAATGAGGACGTAGGAATAACAAATTATTAAGAGTTAAGAACGGTACAACGAATCGTCTTGTTTCTCTATTATTTTAATGAAACACCAAAGCTTCCGCGCTTCGCGCGGGAGGGGGAACTGAATTCAGATAAGGATTAAGAGTCGAGAACGGTACAACAAATCGTCTTGTTTCTCTATTCATTTATGAAACGTCAAAGCTTCCGCGCTTGACTGGATTCAGACAAGCCATTAAGAGTCAAGAGTGGTACAACGAATCGTCTTCTTTTAATGAAACGTCAGAGCTTCCGCGCTACTCGCGGAGAAAGGGGAACTTGATTCAAACAAGGATTGAGAGTCGAGAACGGTAGAACGAATCGTCTTCTTTCTTTAATACTTTAATGAAACGTCAATGCTTTCACACCCCCCCCCCCCCCCCCCCCCCCCCCCCCAGTAGGGAGCGCGCTTCGCGTGCTCACTGCCGCCTCCCCCTAAAATAAAATCCTGGCTACGCGCTTGTAATGTATACATGTATAATTATTGATTCAGTGACTGTGATTTCAACCTTGATATTTTTGTACCAAAACAATACCAAATGCTATTTTCCCCAGCTATATATCTACAGGCAGTGGCGGTGGCAGTGGGTTCACGTGCGCTGCCCCCACCCCCGCGAAGCGAGAGAGAGGGAAAAGAGGAACTAAAATGATTAAATCATAGGCCTAAATATATATATATTCCGGTTACTGAAGAATGAATGGAGCTCTATAAAAATGCGCATTTAATTAAAAACAAAAGGTGAGAGCGAGGGGAAAGATGAAGAAACTAAAGTAAAAGAACGTGATATAATGTAGGAAGATAGTTTGATTGAAAATGCTCTTCAGATATTATACTATCATATGAATTCATCTCTTAAAACAGATTACGATAAAGAATAATCACGATTTGATTTCAAATTGAGTATTAAACCTGTACCGTCAACAGAAACTGAATCTTAATTGATGTTTATTGTTCGTAAATTTCCCTCTTAAAGTAGCTATATAATCTCGTTTTTTTTGTGTAATATTAATTATAGTAATAGCAATAGCAATAGTAATAATTCTTTCTGGATTGATGGATTTTAACTGTGTTTCTATATTTATTTGCACATTTTCGTTTGCCCTTGTACCATGTCTTCGTCATTTTTCTTGTTCAACACTTAAAACACACCCGGTTTCATACTTTGTTGACATAATAAATAATTACTTTTACCAACTTATATTAAGACGTAGGCCTACCTAAGTATTAAAAGGGGCTTACCATTGCAAGCAACGCTTTTCAATGAGCCCCTCATTTTCACATGTCACGTAGAAATTGTTTTCCTTTCAATAATGTTCAAACTGTCAAATTTATTCAATTGTCAATAATGCAGTAATGCAAGTTATTGCAATGATTATAATATAATTTATAGATGTGATATCCTCCATTTTGTAATGTTGTTCGTTTTCTGTATGCATTCGAGCATGTGAAATAAATAAAGTCATTTCAATATGCAATTCAACTTTATGTCGACCACTTATAATTATACTCAGTTTGAAACTGTATACAGAAATTCATCTTATCCTGGAGTTTGCATCATATTTCAATATATAAGCAATGATCAACTAGAATCATGACACCCCTCCAACTGAACTTGGGCATCTATAGATTTTGACACACATTCATACGTATTGATTTAGACTACGCTGTGAGAAAAAAATATATATAGGCCTACATGACAATGTCTGTGATTTTAACCTTGAAATGCTTGTATCAAAACAAGACCAAATGCTATTTTCCCAGCGATATGTTTACATACAGTGGCGTGGCTGCGGGGGGGGGGGGCATGGAGTGCAGGTGCTCCTCCCTCCCCCCCCCCCCCCCCCCCCCCCCGATCGAATGGCAAAAAAGGAAGGGTGAGAGCGAGGGGAAATTAAGATGAAGTAAATAGGATTGACGAAGGGACGGAGCACTTAAACAAAAATTGTATTGCATATTATTATTTACAATTTGAAGACACCATTATATTCAAATTAGAAGTGCGCCACCGTTTGAAAAGGTCATATCCGCCGTTCAGTTTCTTGTCAAATGTCGTATTTGTCAAGTTTCTCTTATTTCATTGTGGTTTCAAACCAGCAGATATGTCTCGAACATATCGCAGCAAGCACGAGGCAGACGAATTTGCCGAATCCGTGAAGAAAAGAGCCAAAAATCCGCAAGAGGTACGTGTATCCGCCATGCAATTTGCTCGCAATTGCGCAACGTGATTATCTATTGTGACTGAGTCAATGAGTGAACGTTGAAACTACGTAGTCCCGTACTATTATGTCATTCCATGTAGGCCTAGTCCTACACTACATAATTAATAGCAATGAATCTGGAATGGACATTCAATAGTATTGACACATGATTGTTATACTACAGCTCTTCCGAATATGTTAGTGTGTCACTAATTTATCAGGGTAGACCTACAGTTTTAAAAAAAATTGTGTCTTAAAGTTAAACTATTTTTAAAGAAGTTGAACTTGAGACTTTGTCTTGGACTTTGTTAAGTTAGGCAAATTCATGCAAAAAAATATATTCAACAAATTGACTTGAAAACACATCAGACAATTAGTCTGAACCGAGTCAGGAGCAAATTTGAAGAAATTATATTTTTAAATGTTGTAAAACCAAAGATATAAGAAGAAAACTGACCAAGTATCTGTACTAAAAATCGTACATGTAAAATTGGTTGTAAACATTCGACAGCTGAAAATGACGCGCACGGTTGCATTACGTGCGTTCTCGAATCCAAAATCATACCTCACACACACACTCTCGCCATACCGCGAATGGTCCGTCGTGGGGAGCTAGCCGGCTGAGAGTTTGCAGCGATACCAACGCAGCTTCGGAGCTCCGCAGAGCGCCATTTTAGCGGGACTCGGAAAGGTTCGTGGTGGGAAGGCAGCGGCCTAGCTTTTTGCCCAAACAACGCTAGATCGGCTGCTGGCAAAATGAAAATAACTACATCGTCGGTTTCTTAACTTTTCAGTGAGATAATTCTGAATTCTAATTGAGACTATATAATAAATTAAATCGACAAAGAAACCTCGGTAGAACTCTTATAACTATACAAAAGCTTGTTTATTTCTTCATTTGACATTTTGTTTTCGACCATTTTTTCGTGCGCGAGTCAGACTCGCGCACGAAAAAATGGTCGAAAACAAAATGTCAAATGAAGAAATAAACAAGCTTTTGTATAGTTATAAGAGTTCTACCGAGTCAGGCCTCTCGCCAAGAAATTAAAAACGCGTGGCGCGACCCGAGGGAAAATTTGGCCCCCCCAAAAAAAAACAAAAAAAAAAAGTAAAAATGTGATTTTTTTTTTTTTTTTTTTTTTTTTTTTTTTTTTAATTTAAATTTATTTTTTACAAGTATTACAAGTAATTTGATGAATTTTTAATACCATACCTGCCAACCCTTACGAATAATTCAGAATATTCTGTTTTGGGGGATTTCTAGGACCAGAAAATCCGGAATTTTCTGATTTAAAAAAAAAAAAAAAAAAAAAAAAAAATGATTTTTTTTTTTTTTTTTTTTTTTTCAAGAACGCGTGGCGCTAGGTCGGGCCGATCAGGAACGCGTGGCGCGCGCGCCACGCGTTATCTGTGTACGCGAGGGCAATATGTAAACTATGTATTACCAAACTTTCAACACGCAAGGAACGGGGAACACTCGCGGACCTCGTAACAAATTCGTTGCAAAAAAAAAAAATCAAGGGTGATTTTGAAGTAGTGAAGAACATTGGCGCTGCAATGCGCAGAAATATACTGAAAAGAAACTTAAAAAATAATACCTGAATTTTCAGAAAATCGTATTTGTATTAGTGTACCTAGATGTGACTTGTTTATAAATCAGATTTTATGAAGATTTGTTGGGAAAAAATGTCAATTTTTTCCGTTTGGTGGTCATTTCTAGGCTAATATTTTAAAAGTTGCATCAGTAATGGGCCCGATGTTTCTCTTATCGTACTCGCATGTTATTTCTACATAGATTAAACATAGGATGGTTAAGGGTAAGACCAGATAACATTATAAAAAAGATATATCCTTCCACCCTCCCATATCCAAGTTTTGGGCTGATTATTGCCGACCCACCGCAGCAAGGCCATTCAGATTTTCGTACGCGCGCAAAGCGCCCTCTAGTGCCCCATGAATGTGCCTAGTTAAGTTTTAAAATTTAAAAGTCGATAAAACTTGAAAAAAATTAACAAACTTAATAAGAAAAAAAAAGAGTGCTAGAATCTAGTTCAGAAGTGTGCCCAAACTGTAACTCCCAATACCCTACTACTAGAGTAAAGGAGCCGGTTTTCGGCCACTTAAGACAAGATCCTATTTTTTGGGCCCTTTAGTTACTTCCTATTTAGGAGCCGGTAATCGGACAGCTCCAGTTTTCAGCCGATCCATTGGATGCTTGGTAAAATCCCTTTAAAATACATTGCATAATAGCACAACACATATCCCACACATACCATACCATGCCAGAGTCACTGAAGAACCACATTTGCAATGGAAAATATATCCTAAAATATCACATTTTAGCGATGTAATCGGCGGTCCCGCTACCCAAATCTGAAAAATCGAGTTTCTTACGCGTGTATGTAAGAAATATGGGTACCATAAAATCAGCTTTATTTCAAGTATTTTTCAGATTTAGAGCCCGATTTTGTGTTAGTCGCAAGCTCAAAAGTATCTCATCGCATGTATTAAATCAATGCAGCCGGACCCTGCCACGCACACACGATATGTCTGTCTAATTCAGATTCCAACTTCCGATCACCGCTGTGCCTGTCTTCGGCCAGGCCAGCACCCGGGAGCTCCGGCGTGGGATACCTGCTCCGCCCGCTTGTGCTGTACATCAGCGCGAAACGCACGGCGCGCGCGAGCGCTTCCTATTGACTTTGTACATGCGGCCGTAAACTGAAACGCTCGGCCGATAACTGGCTCCAAAACAGTGAAAATTGAAATGAATATTGTCATGGCAATTCGTGATTTTTTTCTGGGATTCTTTTTTTGTTTAAATAATAATAATATTTGCTTCATGATTTGAACAAGAAATGATAATAAATAGGAAGTAAAGAGTCCAAAAAATAGGATTTTGTCTAAGTGGCCGAAAACGGGCTCCTTTATTCTATTATCACTTTTTGTTCAAATCATGAAGCAAATATTATTATTATTTACACAAAACAAAAATCCCAGAAAAAAATCACGAATTGCCATGACAATATTCATTTCAATTTTCACCGTTTCCGCGCTGATCTATATAGCACTAGCAGGCGGAGCAGATATCTTACGCCGGAGCTTGCCAGGCCGAAAACTAGTACTGCGGTGATCGGATATTGGAATTTGAATTAGACAGAGATATCGTGTGTGCTTTGCGGTGTGCGGCTGCATTGATTTAATACATGTGATGAGATACTTTTGAGCTTGCGACTAGCACGAAATCGGGCTCTAAATCTGAAAAATACTTGAAATAAAGCTCATTTTATGGTACCCATATTTCTTACAGACACGCGTAAGATTACTCCATTACTCTAGGCTAGATCTACTACTAGATCTATATTCTATAACATACCCAAAATCAACTAAATCTTCAACAATTGTTCAAATAATCATGATGATTTCATCATCTTTGGCAGCTTAGTGTCAATTTTCTTAACTTTTTGGAGTATTTTTCCTTTAAATGACAGGTTTCACTGCGAACTGCTGCACAATACAAGGGTATACCCTACTGACGGTGGACGCCCGTGAGTGCTTGAAGTTAGCGACGACCGGCTGTAATGAGAATCTGAAACGGAAGATAGTTGCCACGTGCACGCCATCCTCATTGCAGTCGCTAACTTCATGCACACGTGCTCGCCCCCCCCCCCCCCCCCCAACCTACTGTCGATATGCACTTGTATTGTGCAGCAATTTCCAGTGGGTGAAACATGTGAGAAAATGTAGATGTCTTTGTTTTTAGGAAAAACAAATCTAATCGTAGGGATCTAGTTTTTGCGGTCATTTTTGTTTTTCGGTCAAGTTGATTAGCAAACAAGACAATTCGCAAACGCAAGACATGAAACATTGTGTTTTTCAAGTCCCAAAGTCAAAATCATTGAATTGAATACAGGCCCAGTTGCCTGGATAGTCATATTAAAGTGAATGATTTTTCTTAAGGGCAAACTCTTTCTCCTCTTTTAGCACTTAGAGACTTAGGTAGGTGGTAAGCGCTTTATAAGCACCGTTTTTATTATTATTATTACTATTATTATTGCAGGTCCAGCTGAAGGGCTATCACATTGCCTCCCTCTATTGTGAGGTTCATGAGTACAAGTCGGCTCTTCCCTATGCTGAAAGCTACACGGCTCTCAAGGTTGCCGATCCCAGGGGTTGGAAGCTACTGGGCTATGTCTACGAGTCCTTGAAGAACCCTGCTAAGGCCATCCAGTGCTACCGTCGATCGCTGGAGCTCAATGATTACCAGAAGGAACTGGTGCTCAAAGGTACAGTCAAGGAAAAAATACACAGGGGCTCTGGCGAAATCTCCCCTGAAATGCCAAAAAGAACCCCCCAAAGTCATAAAAGAGCCCCAAAAAATTTGCAGAGTTTAATGCAAAACAAATTAAAGAGTGTTATTTTCATGCAAGCAAGCTTGAAATGTAGCCTCCCACATTTTTAAAATATTTTTTCCCTGGGTACAGTGCTCAATAAAGTCAGAGTAGGTTGGGGCAGGGGGGAAGGGCACTTTTAAAAGCTCAGGGGTTGTTTTTTGAAAGCTATACCTTTGTCTGTTTTGATATTCTAAACAAATTCTTCCAGTTTTGCCAGCCTCTACAAGACTACAACTCATAATGACTTATTTATTTCTCATGTTTAAATACTACATTTATTTATGCAAATTTTCAAGGTTTTAGAACTTACATGTACATTGACTATAATAAAGATCTTGAATATCATATTGCAAAAGAAAAAAACAAATTGCCCTTGCACTTTAAAAAATGGAAGTTTGTTTTATAATGTTTTATAGGTACCGTACATGTGCATTTAATTGCCTGCATCTTCGTGTAAATTTACTTTTCGGGAGGTTTTGAACTACGTTGTACTGCTTTTTTGTAATCTTCTTATAATTTCTTGTAAATATTGTGATTGTATTTGATTTTTTCAATAAAACACATTAAAAAATGTATTAAAATAAGCCCACCTTCAATATTTAGTTTAACAGTATCTTCTCTTATTGATCATATCTTATCTCCCTTGCAATAATATTTGTGTCTGTTACGATTCAATCTAATCAGTTGCTGAGCTCTACTGTGAAGTGCAATTTGAAGCAGAGAAACATCGCTACTGGGTGGAGAGAGCTGAAAAGTATTTTCCAAATCATCGCACCATCTACAAAATCAGGGTAAGCTGAGTGATGCAGTCTGTCATTTTCAACAAAATGTTATCATATTTTAGCGATCCTAGAGATGAACCGAATTCCTACTCAACTGTAGCAAATATATCTTTATACCTCAATGATTTAAATACTTATAATTATCATTGAATGGAAAGCTAACCAAAACAAGTACGGTACTGTACTACCTTTTTTTGACCCAAATATGCTTGTTAATACCTATCCAATCCATGGAATGCTCATCCGATGAATATGTTGTCTTCTCAGGAAAATATTTGAGGACACTCCAATAAATTCAAGTCTTATCTTTTCTTCTCATTATACATCTGAACTATCATGTCTTGAGAATCAACTTCATGTTCTCTGATTCGTTCATGGATATTCTTCCTTTAAAAAAATTGTCCCTCACCACTTCAGAATGCTTGTTGAAGAGCAAATGAAAAGTGCTGTGTTTTATTATTATCACATACCCCGGTACTGATAAATGTGATAGGATGGCACCATTTCAGAAATATTCTGTTGCTTGTATTTTTCTCCCAGGAACACATTCTACGTTCGAGCAAGAATCTTCGAGAATATGAAAAATATCTCAGAGACAAACTGGTGAGTAAAGTTAAATCAATTTCTTTAAATTTTCTCTAAAAATCCAAAACAGAATTTGTTTCAATCATCATGTACAGTGAGTTATGACTGCATGAGTGATGGCTCAGTGGTAGAGCAGTGGACTCGTAACCAAGAGGTCCTGGGTTCAAAACCAATTGATGCACTATTGCCCTTTGGTAAGGAATTCTCAATACTAGGTCCCTCAGAGAAAACTTCAGTTCCCTGGTTGCTTACTTACAAGCTTACACATGCTTTCTTAGAAGTCAGGTAAAAGAAATAAACCAACCAATCAAAAAGAGTCGCATGAGTGACATAGTGAGATATGAATGATACTGCATTCCAATTGAGAGGAGTTAAGATTAAAACTGAGAAGCAGTTAATTTTTAACAATCAGTTGTTCAATCTTTTGTGTTTTCATAAAGATAGATTGGTAGAAAGGAGATACCTGAGAAGTTTTATTCGGTATTTTATCTCGAAGGGAGGTACTAAAGAGCTTGTTACAAAATGCAAATTAATATGAAATAGCACTCAGCAAGATTCCATCAATAGCAGAGTATCCCTAACAATGAACTGTTGGTTTTTTTTTTGTACTCTGCTCTTACTTATTTTGTCTCAGTGATATTACATTATTTTCTGTTGGTGATTGCTGAACAGAGATGTTTGTAAGATAATATATGAAATTTGGTATAGTTTTTAGTATTCAAATATGGAATAAAACATGTAATGGATAAAGATGATAGTAATAATGATAATGATAATATTAATTTATGATGATGATGATGATGGTGATGATGGTAATGATGATGATGATAATGATATTAATTTTATGATGATAACGCAGATGATGATAATTTCAAGTATTAGATATATAATAAATGAAATGACATTAGTGAAATGTATGATATTTTAATCATTTTTTTCCCGTTATGAATTACAAAAAATACAAATTTTTGTTGCCTCCTGTTTCCAGCACTCCAACCAAAATGACATCTACCTGAACATCAAGCTGATCGATATCCTCTTGGAAACCAATCAGATGAGAGAGGGCTACCAGCACTGTTCTACCATCGGTGATGGCCGTTGCTTTGACTCAGAGGCAAGATGGTGGCAGAAGGCAGCAGTCTTCTACAAGGTTATTGCTATGGCCATCATTGTTATGCCATTTTTTTTCTTTTTTTGACAGCGGGGTGGGGGGGGGGGGGGCAAGTCAAATCAATTTGTCCCAGAATTTATCGACCACATCTAAAATTTCAGTATATCTGACGACTGCACCAAATTCCATCATTATTTCCGTCTACGCAAACAGAGAATTATAACAAAATTTAATTCAAACAGGAAGTTTGGCATTGAATTACAATTTGATGTTTGACAATATTTTTTGACAGTTTCACTCTTTCTCTGTCTCTGTATATGAATGGAACAAACGGTGGACTATTGTAGCTATTTGACAAAATATTTTGTCAAGTTTCAACTCTTGGCCTGCATTGGTTCACTAATAGAACAGACACTTGACTGCCGTAGTCAACTATTGTCACAAGTACAGTGTGCATGCAACATATGCACTAGAAGATTGTTGCAGTGGTGGGCTTCGGCCTGAAGGGGATAACATTGCGAATATGGGGCCGAGTTGTCATGGCAGGATTGATTAAACTTTATATGAATTTTTTTAGGGTTAGGGTAAGGGTTTAGGCTTAGGGTTAGGGTAGGGTTTAGCATTTGGGTTAAAGTTAGGGTATGCTAGGACAACTCAGCCCGTATTTGCAGCAGGGCCGAGTTTTCCTCTGAGCCCGAGTAAGCCCGGATCCTTCCTATCATATCGCCGTTCTCTTCTATCCTAGACCATGATTAACAAGAAGAGCGGTCAGCCCGACAGTGTCATGGTCCAGGTCTACAGCCGTCTGCTGCTTGCGGTCAATACCCTGATCAGCCTGGGGCTAGCCAATAGCTCGGCTCCACCCAGTCACAACCTCTCTCAGATTCAAGCGTAAGTCAAGAAATCAATTAAAGGGGAAGTCCATCCTAATAATAAGTTTGTTTTAATACAAGGAGAAAAATGTGAAGAACAAAACAGTGAAGGTTGGAGAAAAATCGGACAATAAATAAGAAGGTTATTGATTTTTAAATCCATTCCTTTTCATGAAATACTTCAAATCTGTGATTCAAATTAGCAACGCGGTCTCTAAATGTGATGTCAGCCCCTCACATTTTATCCTTTGTTGGATTCATTGTATTGCAATTTATAACATGTTTCAAAGATTGTTTTATGTCATTGTATTCTAATCTATGTGTAGCACCATGCATGAGCACGGACTTTATAAGAAATCTCTTTAAGAAACCACCATTATTATTCTTCTTGTTATTATTACCGTTTCATATTATCAGATTGGACAAAATGCTGCTTCAGACCGGTGACTTCATGGCGACTGTTGGGAATGCACCATTATTCTTCTTTATAATATTATAGTTATTTCATATTATCAGATTGGACAAAATGCTGCTTCAGACCGGTGACTTCATGCCGACTGTCAGGAATGCACCATTATTCTTCTTTATAATATTATAGTTATTTCATATTATCAGATTGGACAAAATGCTGCTTCAGACCGGTGACTTCATGCCGACTGTCAGGAATGCACCATTATTCTTCTTTATAATATTATAATTATTTCATATTCTTAGATTGGACAAAATGCTGCTTCAGACCGGTGACTTCATGCCGACCGTCGGGAATGCCCTGCAGCGCCCTCAAGGGGATGCCGTGGTACAGGAGGTCAAAGGTCAACTCTTCTTCCATCTCGCCACTCTCTATCTAAAGATGGCAGTTGTGGTTAGTATTTGTCTCTTATCTTTACAGGTGGAGTGGGGGTGGGGGGGGGGGTTAGAGTATGGGTACTGATTGCAATTGATATTGGGTATCTTCAGTTATTTTTGTATTTGAAAGTACAGTTTTACATGCATTTAATTTTAAAACTTGTACTCCTTTTCATTGCAAGAAAATTGTAGAATGGAAATTATATTACCCAATTATCAGAGGGGGGAGGGGTGGTCTCCTATTTTCAGGGTGGACTTTCCATTCTATATTACTCTGCTTACAGAGGGAGAGTTTAGAGGGATATCCAAAATCTTTCTTAACCAAACTTGACTTGGCTTTATTTTCAACTGTTTTATGCAATAGTGATTTTCCGTATCTTTTTTTCAATAATTTTTTTTTTTTTTTTTTTTTTTTTTTTTTTGGGGGGGGGGGGGTCTTTTTCCTTGTAGGGATAGTTTGTAGGATAAGAAATCCCAATTTGTGCTTTCACATTAAAGTTTGCAGTGTAGGCATGACAAAGTGCAGTTCAGGTCACCGACTTACAAAGAGTTGCGATTGATCCAAATCAATCACAAGTCCTCCAATCAATCCCAAGTTTGCAGTCTCCTATCTCTTATGTACATAGTTGCGATTGATATCAACTCTTTTAAGACGGGGCCCAGGATGAAATAGACTTGAACTACTTCTTAAAGTTGCTCTCTCAATGCATGAGATTGATATATTTTTTTCTACTTTTAGGGTTCCGTATCACTATCTGACGTGGTAGAGATGGCCGCAGCCTGCTACTTGGTGAGCCTCCAGGTGGCGCCCTTCAGTCCCGTCACGGAGCTGCCCTTGAAGACTGAACGCATGGATGGACTCTCCCGTAGACTGAAACGACTCGGGGCAGAGAGGTTGAGTGAAGTCTGTAAGTAGTGCATGCTGGTTTTACTTCTTCTTCTTCAAGAAAATCTGCCTCCTTCAATACTAAAGATTCTCACAGATTCCTGGTGTTACTTCACTTGCTCCAGGGAAAATTGCTCTGCTGTCAATCTCTTCCATCAGCTGAATTCCTACCTTCAAACTTGGATCAAACACGTAAACTTAACCCTTACTGCTGACCGAACTTTAAACCCAACTGCAACCCTGACCCCAACCCTACATTTTTAACAAAATAACTCCTGGAGCAAATCTTGCCAGACTGAATGTCGGGTCACCATACTCCTAAGAGATAAAGAAGCTTAAATTCATTGGATTAAACGTGATATTTCCAGTTTTAAAAAATGTTGGTTTTCTATTAATGTTGCAAGTAGTATTGCAAAGCAAAAAGATTGGTATTTTTGTTCTGTGATATTTGATAGCCAAAGTACCAAAGGTCTGTAAAAATATGTTTTATATTTCTGTGAAAAGTATATACAGTTAGCTCTACATAAGGTTAATCTCTTGGAACCGCAGAAAAATGGTTGACTTATGTAAAATACGACTTAGGAAGTGTAGATAACACAATTTTTTTGCATAATTAGGTCAATTCGACTTGTGCAACTTTGTAATATGCTGATTGAACTGTAGTGTATGTATGTATTCAATCAATAAATTTATAATGTAGGCATGTTTAGTGACTTTTGTATAAATGTGGGCCTGTTTTCGTCATGCTCAACTGAAAATTCAAAAATAATGCTTTCTCCAGTACTGAAATTTTGTGGGTATATATCATGAGCCTAAAAGACTGGAAACAAACGAATGAATTCGGTTTGGATGTGGTGCTTTATACATTGCTGTTGTTGTTGTCATTTTTGTTATTCCTATTATTGTTGATATATGTGCACCATCTCCACAGGTCACATGCTGAATGGACTGGTGAAGAAGCACGACGAGGATTGGCTGGAAGCATGTCGAACTAGATTCTGCACCAAACAGGTAAATGGTGTCCTATAGGACCACGGTTGATTTGCAAGAAGGATATCATTAAATGATTTTTTATATTACTAGCTGAATTAGGTCCATTTTATACAACATTGCACTGATTGCAGTTGCAAGTAAGCTCTGGTGGATGTTCTGTGTGTAATGGGGTTTTTACTGACGTGTATCAATCCGATATGATTATGTATGTCTGGGGACCAACCTTTAACGTCACCATCCCAAAGACGCTACTCAATTTCAAACCTGAAGTTCTTCTGAATTGTTTTGTAGGCAAAGAGCTAACCATACCACTTGACTAATTTGCATTATCCTACTGCTTTATAAAGTCCTTTTTGAAGTTCTTTTTGAGGGACTAGATAATTGTGCCTTGTAAATGACAATTTACGATGAGCTAGTGCTCTTTGGTAAGGCATCAATCCTCATTACCAAGTCCCTCGGAGAGGACTTAAAGCCTTCGGTCCCCTGGTTGCATGATTCTTAGCAGTCAGGTAAAACACACAAACAAGCTAACATAGGATACCTAGATAGTACATGATTGTGCCCCAACTTTGACTACTAGGAGCACTGAATGAAACAAATGTTGAGGGGTGTTCATATCAAGAACAATTTAGTCCTGTATACAGAAATCACGCGGTAATCACGCCAAGTACATAGTGTCAAGTACATAGTGTAGTATGAAATTTTAGTCACAGAAATATGGATAAGAAACATTGAATGAACAAGTATTTAGCTAACTTAAAGGGGGACTTCACAACTTGTGGCTACTTGCTCCCTCTATATAGCAAACAATGCCTAAGCGGTACCCGTTGGGTCCCCATGGTCCCCTTTTTCTTATGTTAATTGAAAGCTGATTTGATGAGATAACCACCTGTCAGTGACCACGCAGGGAGGTCTAATCCCTCCCGGCCAAACTAGTGCAGTGCCTATAAGCACTTCTTTTGTATAGACCTTATCTTATCGAGTGTTGTCAATGTTCTTTCCACCTCAGGGTCGGCAGAGGCTGTTTGAGCAACTCTATGGAATCCAGAATCCTGATCCAAGGCAATCCTTTCTCATGATGGATGAGGTGTTCCTACAAACAACTGCAGTTCAGATCCCAGACATGGTTAACACTGTCCTCAAATATGACAAAGGTATGTTCAGATGAACGTTTGGTTGGTTGGTTGGGAGATTAGTATGTTCATAACAGCATCTACAGTTCAGATTCAAGATATGGTTAAAACTGTCTTCAAATATGACAAAGGTATGTTCAGATGAACATTTGGTTGGTTGGTTGGGAGATTAGGATGTTCATAACAGCATCTACAGTTCAGATTCAAGATATGGTTAACACTGTCTTCAAATATGACAAAGGTATGTTCAGATGAACGTTTTGTTGGTTAGTTGGATATTTATTTATCGGTACTATTCCTCATATATTCCAAATGAATGAAAAGTGACACTTTCGCATACAGGCCTGCATTTCCTAAGGAAATGTTGAAAATATTACAAATCAGATGAAGTAAATGCTTCTTTCAAGTTTCAAAACCTCCCCACCCCCAAGAAAAAATTAATAAATAAAAAGTAAATTAATCCATTTTAAAATCCAAAATTGTAACGCAAAATGATAATTTGTAGCATCTCGCCCAATACAATTAATTTAAGAAAATTTCATCAACTCTCAATTTCACTACAAACTTGTATTTTTTCTTATTTTTTGTTCTTATAACTCAAGCTTCCATCGAGGGAGGAACCACCAACCTCCAGCGTCTGGTGTGGCTTGGACTCCAGTGGAACGTTCGCCAGGACGACATCCTACCCGACCTGGGGTCGTTCGTAGAGGTGACCTTTGACCGTCTGGTGATCAGCGCAAGGAACCTTGATAACACCTCCGTCGATAACCTGTGCATACTGGATCTAGAGGTAAGCACAATGAAGGATTTTTTGTCAATTGTCATATCGAGAGGTTTTCATTTCAATCAGACGAAATAAATGGATAAGTGACACATTTCACTGAACCGTCCACTGACGGATCTCCTTTCTCTTACTGTCAAAAGTGGTGAAAACTTGTTCATTATTCACTCTTATTCTTTACTTATTTTCTGTTAAATATTACTATGTATTGACGTCTTTGATGATGTTCATATTGTTTATATTGTCCAAGTAGTTGTTATCTTCATATTGTAATGTTGCATTTGTTTACAGGGCCTCCTTGAAAACAGTACTTTGATTACTGACTGTTTAAAGCCCCACTGCACTACATGTACTTGTAGCTACTTGCTCCCTCTATATAGTAAACAAAGCCTAAGCAATGCCCGTTGGTCCCCCATGATCTTCTTTTTCCTATGTTAATTGAGAGCTGAGTGTATGAGATAACCACCTGTCAGTGACCACGCTGTGTGGTCTAATCCCTCCTTGCCAAACTAGTACAGAAGGGCTTTAAATAAAAACGGAATAAATATATACACCTCTCACCTTTGTCTTGTCCAGGCATTCCTGTATGCCAGCATCTTCATCGCCCGAGCCCAGCTACGCAACCTGCATCAGCAGGGATTGGCCGGTTTGAATATTCCTGTCGCCCTATTGGTCAACTGTTACTCCGAGGAGCAGCTCGACTGGTACATGTCCGTCTATCAACTCTACAGCGGAAAGGCAAAGTAAGTCTGAAAACAAAAAGGTGTGTTCACTTTGATGTAGAAGTGTCTTGGCTTGAAGTGCAAAGGTCGTGGGTTCGATCCCCGGCACGGCACTAAAGTCCTTTGGCAAGGCATTAATCTACATTTGCCACTCTATACCCAGGAGATAAATGATGAGGACCTGGTAGGATGACGAAAGTAATTTGTGTTAGTAATTGCCATATGCCCTCACGGTCACCATGTGATAGAAATACTCCCTAGAGAGTGGAGATGGTGCACATTGTGTATGAATCCATTGACCGGGGTAATAATATCTGTGTAGTGCTTAAAGACGGTATTTCGTATTAAGTGCTACATAAATCTGGATGACTGTTATTATTATTATTATTAATGTGCACACGTTGTGTGCGGGTAAGCCTGAATCCGATGACCGGGGTCATAATATATCTGTAAAGGGCTTAGGCACATCGTTGGATCGGTGTATTGAGCGCTATATAGAAAAACGGATTATTATTATTATTATTATTATGTAATCAGATGCATTGATACCCAATCATTTATACTGTACTAGGTGGAGCATACTCTCACTGATTTGAAAAGTTATTTTTCTGTGTAAATACAGTCAAACCTGTCTTAGCATCCACCTCTCTATAAAGACCACTTATGTACAGTAGTCACCTGTATTGTCTCCCTCTAGACAGAAATATGTGTTGTAGAACCTGTCTAGAAAGGCCACCTGTCGATAGTGGTCAGGTTCCCCACTACAGACAGGTTTGACTGTATATTCATTGTGGAATATGGGTTGTATTTTTATAGGCCGGTAGACCTAGGCAAGTTCCGTTTGACAACCAAGAAGGGTTTTCATCGCCTTTTGTGTGTTGTAGAACCTGTCTAGAAAGACCACCTGTAGATAGTGGCCAGTTTTCCTGCTATCGACTGTATATTTTTTGCCGTTCTCATTTCTCTATGTAACTCATTCTAATTCTATCCCTCTGCGCCTCAGAATAGTTTACTAGATTGATGGCGCATAACAAACACTGTATTATTATTATTATTATTAACTTTTTAATATGCTTTATGTTTGACAGGCCGGTGGACCTGGGCAAGTTTCGTTTGACGGCCAAGAAGGGTCTTGAGGTACTGAGATGCCAGAAGAATCACGGAATGGAGACTCAGCTACTCGTGGAGCTAGGAAGAACATTCTATGCCAGGGTGAGTTAGAATGGCTCGTTTAGACGTGACGCGGTAAACGCCATTACAAACGATAATAAGCTGTGTTTTTCTTTGTATGTGTAAATGATTGTGCGCACAAAATTTGAAGCATATTGCACTTTCCTTCATCACAACAAAAATATGCCAAGGTTTTGCTGCATCATATCTGCTTTTCTAACAAAACTGGCAATTTTTAAAACTTTTTGAAAACATTCTTGCCCATGTTTATTTTAACAATGAAAGAAAAATATGATTGTAGCCAATGTGAAGAAGATTATGAGACCAATTTAGCCCTAAAAATATAGCCCGTCCTGAAATGGTTATCTTACACAGTTCTTTTGCAAAATCAAAGTTTGATGATGACAATAATGATGAGGGGTACTAACATATTTCTTGTTGTTATTTGAGTGATGTCGCCTTTGTCATGGAGGTAGTATTCAACTTTAGAGAATCACTATGTAAATGGCGTCTTCTTGGTATTTTTCCTTTGCAAGGTGGAAGAGCTGAGGAAAGATTCTCGTGACCCTAACGACCGCCGTGATCGTCGTGAGGCATACCAAGCTATGAGTGTTCTCTACTGGGAAGCTGCCTTGGATCACCTCAAGATGATGGCCAGGTATTACCAAGATGATCAGCAACAAAAATATAATAATTAAAAATGCAAACAAACATGTCTTTTTTTTTTCTTTTTTTTTTCTTTTTTTTTTAAAAATTTGCCGTCTTTGCATATGGAATATCAAAGAGCTTCTTTTTCTTGGCCAGGTTGAAAAAATATTTTTCCTTTCCATTATCAATTCTGTTACTAGTACTCTAAATGTGGTAATATTCGCGGTGCTCCCACTTTTGCGGATTTCGTGATAAAATCGGTCTCTGCGAATATTAAAACCTGCAAATATATAAGCATGACTTCTTATGCGTGTTTTGAACGGGCTAAATTGCTTGCAACACGAATATGTTTTGGGGTCGCTCAGTGCGAAAAATGAATCTCACAAAAATACCAACGTTTACAGTATATGTTGAAAGCCTAGACAATGTAAGTTGATGAGTTGGGGGGGGGGGGGGGGGAGTCAGTTTGAGAAAAAAAAATGTGTTGTATTGAATGTGTCTTTATTTTGTTATTAAAAGTCATCTAAAATATACGCTGTACCAGAAGTTCATAAATCAATGATTAGAATTTAATAAAAATATCTCATTTATTCTATTTAATGATGGATTCAGGGCCTAAGATTTGATGTATTTCGATCCTAAAATTGGCACATTTCTTTTAATACACACATCCTAGAGTAGAATATTTTTTTATTCAGCTTCAATCCAACCGTGGAAGATTTCTACCATTATATGACAGATCTCTTCTCTTTTTTTGTTGTCCTTCTCATACCAGTAATCGAGCAGTTTCACACCCCAAGAAGCCAATGTTTTCACATGTGCACAAGCCATTCGAGGTAAGCCCCGGCTCTTTTCTCCCGCTCTCTCTCTATCTCTCTCACTTCCTCTCTCTCGCTCTTTATCTTTCTATTTCTCTCTCTCGTGATGGCTCAGTGCCTTGGGTAACGTATTATTCCTCACTACCAAGTCCAAGAAGATATTGAAAATGTCCAACAGTATTTCTTGAAAAATCCGCTTTTAATTAGGATACAAATTTATATGTATACAATACTTGTATACAGATATATATATATATATATATATATATATATATATGTATGTGTGTATTTATTTCTCTATTTTGTTTTGTTTCTGTTATCTGTTTTTATTGATGATTGTTATTGAATAGCATTGTTACCAAACAGGACCTCTCGGAAGACTACCATGATTGGTGAAATGTGCCACCCTGTATAAATATCAGAAATAAAAAAATAAATAATCAGGATGGTAATAACTTCATAAATCAACAGTATGTACCGGTACTTGGAATTTTGTGCAAGTCATTTGATTTACATATGGTATGCAAAATCATTTTAAAAGTGAAGTTGAAACCTTTACCACCAGACACTTCATTGTATCTAATAATGAGTCCCTACATATACTAGCTTTCATAATTACCCTTTTTTTCCTGCAGGATGGCCTGGTGGCTAAGTTGCTGGATGAGGGTGCTGTAGTGATCGCAGATTCCCTGTTTGAGAAAGGTCAACACCAGGTGGCGCTATCCAACCTAGCCAAAGCAAAAACACCCAAGGCTCTCTTCTCAAAAGCAATGGTATGTTTTATCCTCTTTATCATCATTTTTCACATTCAATATAAATGAAGAAAAAAATTATCATATTGTATACAAAGCAAGTTTTTATTTGAAAAGCAATAAATACATAAAGTAAACAAAAACTGATCAACAGCAACCAAAAGTACTTTATCAGTTGTTATATCTGTAAATCTTTAATGCTATTTTGTTTTTGTTTTGTACTTTATTCACTTCATATATTGTGATTATTGCCTTCTTTTTATCACACGGTTGTTAGACTAGTTACTTACATATTTTTTGTTTAAATGACATGGTCATGTTTGAAGTTATATGGCAGTTTTATCTATTTTGTTTCGATAAATCCATAACAGATGTAATTTCCATTCCTTGTTGCAAAGCGCAGACATATGGGGGAATCACAGAGATAAGAGAGAGAGAGAGAGAGAGAGATGCTTCATTTGTAAATAAAGCAAAGTTCACAGAAATCATTCCATTACATTTTCTGTATGTGCTCATGAGCTTTCAAAGTACATGATAGGTGCCTTATGTGTGTTGATGTGAGCAAATCTATTTGTACAAGCACATAGAACAATTCTTTAATCCATACCTGTTTGATGAGACATAGTTGTGACATGTGCATTCATGTGGGTTGTTCCTGATAGTCCCTCCCTCACTCCCTCATACGATCTCTATGGGATGGAGCAATGCAGTGCTCCATGAATTTGTCCTTTGACCTAGCACATGCGCAATGTCACAACTGTCTCCCCTCTTATAGCTGCGATTTTATTAATCAGTTACATGTTCCAAGGAGTTAAATACAGTCCCGTGTACATGTATGTAAATGCTTCATTAGGACAAAATATGGTTTTGGATTTGATGTAGATGCTCCATGTGTTGGCGTCTATGGAGACAGAGGGGAAACCCCTTGATAAGATCACAGTGGACACGCTGAAGAAGCAAGGAGATCTCCTAGACCAGTCCAAACACACACTCTATCTTTCGATGGACAGCATCGAAATGGAACCAAGAAATGTGAGTGTAAAAATGCTTTAATTTTGTGATAATAATAATCATCTTCATCATCATCAACATCATCATCATCGTCATAATCATCTTATTCATCATCATAACAATAACAAAAGCAACCATAAAAACATGCACAACAGCAACATCAATAATAATACATTATACAGAGCGGGAGTTACCTTCTCCTTTCCTCCTCCTTTTTTCTCCTTCGTTTCTCTTACTTTTCTTTTCCTTTTCTCTTTCTTTTCTCTTTTTCTCTTACTTCTTTTCCTTTAATCCTTCTCTTCTCTTTCCTTATCCTTGTCTTCTTGTTCTTCTCCTTTTTTCTTTCTTTTCTCCCATTCTCCTTTACTCCTTCTTTTCTCCTACTTTTCTCTTAAGTTTCTGTTCCTTTTCTCATTCTTTTCTCTTTTTCTCTTACTTCTTTTCCTTTAATCCTTCTCTTCTCTTTTCTTATCCTTGTCTTCTTGTTCTTCTCCTTCTTTTCTCCATCTCCAGCCCAGGGAAAAAATACACAGGGGCGAAGTAGCCCCCGAAACGCCCAAAAGGCCCCCCGAAAGTCATAAAAGAGCCCCCCAAAATTTGCATAGAGTTCAATGCAAAACAAATTAAAGAGTGTTATTTTCATGCAAGCGAGCTGAAAAATAACCTCCAAAAATTTTTTAATATTTTTTTTTTCCCTGTCTCCTTCTTTTCTCCTTCTCCAGCCGCTTCACGAGGAAGTCCAGACTCTCCTGGAGGAGATCGAGGCGGAGCAGGCCTCCATCCTGGAGCAGATATCCGCCCTGGAGGCGAACAACAATCCAGACATCTCCAACCTCTCCTCTATCAGACACTCCTTCCTTCACGAGAGCACCCGCGGCTCCTCCAGGGGCAGGACGCCCTCGCGTGACTACGAAACGCCATTCAGGGAATCGATGCAGAGAGACAACAGGACCCTGTCGCAGTCTCAGTACTCTGAACCGGTAAGACATCAGTACTTGAGGGTAAAATATACAACTTTAAAAGTGATAAAAAGGTTATGATTCTTTCTTAAACAGTATGGTTCATTTTATGTTATGCAATCCAATAATTCCAGCAGAAAAATACAGTGAAACCTGTGTATAGAGACCACTCAAAGTGTGGCAAGAAAAATGGTCTGTATAGGCAGATGGTCTTTATGTACAGGTTCCTTTAGTACATGTTTCTATGAGAAAAGATTGTCAAAGGAAATAAAAAATGTGGTCTTTATAGACAGATGATTGCTAAAGCAGGTTTCATTGTATATGATGTTGTCTGCACCTGAATTGATTAAAATATTTTGGTTAAAGTGGACTAAATAAAGAAGGAAAAAATATTTTTCAATGATTTTTCTGAAAGAGTTCTGTTCATTTTATGTTAATTATACGAGCCAGTTATTTTAGCAGAAAGCTTTGTGATGTTACCTGTATCCGTATTACATGTACCTACCAATATTCCAATTGTAAAAGACCCAAATGTGTTTATGTTTTTATTTCATTTATTTATTTTGTTATTAATATTCCTTCCTCCTTTCCACACCCTAGCTGAGCCCTGACCCTAGCCCACGTCGCCTGGCAGCAGAGGTTAGAGCCCTCAACCTGTCTCATTCGCACATCCTCGATCAAAATCAAAGACTGATGAAGAGAGAAGATAAACTCATGGAATCGAATGCTGAACTCATGAAACAAGTCCTTCAACTCACTGTAAGATTTTTTTTTTTTTAAAAGCCCTACTGCAGTACTAGTAGCTACATGTACTTGCACCCTCTATATAGCAAACAATGCCTAATCGGTGCCTGTTGGGTCCCCCATAGTCCCCTTTTTTCTTATGTTAATTGAGAGCTGAGTTGATGAGATAGTCACCTGTCAGTGACCTAGCTGGGTGGTCTAATCCCTCCTCCCCACTGTAGGACAGACGATCTTTTACATAAGAATCACCACCTTGATGAAACATTGATTCGTAGTTTATTTAATAACGCTCACAAGAAATGGTTTCTATTTTTGGAGAAGATTTTGAGGCCATATCTCAAATACCGTGAGAACCACCTTGTTAAAACATTTTATCCATTGTTTATTCAATGCGCTCCTAAGAAATGGTTTATATTTTTAGACTACATTTTGTGATCTACAGTCAGGTCACTTAGTTATCCACGCTACCCTACCCTCTTACCGTATCATTTTAAATCCACAGAAAGACCTTCAAGAGATCAAGCTTCAACAAGCCAAAGCTCTCAACCAGGCCCCCGCTCCACCGGCCCCTGCTGCACCGGCCCCTGCCACACCAGCCAACCAGGGTGTGACTGGGACCCCATCAACAGCTCCTCAAGCCACTTCCTCCCCTCAGCTGCCCCAGCAAGCACCCCAGCAACCTCCTCCCCAACAACCTCAGCCTCAGCAGCCTCAGCACCCGCTGGCTTCCAGACAAAGTAAGCATTCCCGCTGGTGTATTATCTCTCTGTTTCTCAGTGTTTACAAAGATTCCTCCTAGGTATTCTGCAGTTGAGCTTCTGTTTAATAATAATGATAATAATATTGGATATTTATATAGCGCACATATCCACCATGCATGGTGCTCGAGGCGTTCCAACTATTACCCCGGCTCTGCTAGGCAGCCGATTTTTGCGCTCGCAGCATTCAAGGAATTTCTTCCTACCGGTACCCATTTAACACCCATGGTAAATGATAAAATGATATTCCCCACAAAATGGGTATTAACAGTGAAACCTGCTTTAGTGACTACCTGTATGTAAGGACTACCTGATTTTTTTGTTTCCCTTGAAGACCTTTTCTGATAAAAACCTGTACTAAAGGAACCTGTACATAAAGACCACCTGCCCAAAGAGACCACTTTTTGTCACCCTTGAGTGGTCTTTATATACAGGTTTCTTTGAAGTTGAAGTTTCCTGATTAAAAGTCCTGTTGTCAGTTCATTGATTTTGTCATTTGGAGAGCAGGAATGGGAGTGTTCATTGTCACCTTTAGGTGTGTTTATGAATGCTGTGGTAAAAAAAAAAATTAAAGCATATTTATTAAGCATACTGCACTTCAAATTTTTGTATCTTCTAACACACAGATATGTGAGTACTTGTATGACCATTGTTGCACACAGTTATTTTTTCGTTCCAACTTGCCATTCCTTTAGGACACACCCAAAATTCCTCCACAATTTACCGCAGCATATGCAAACGAGCCTGTATTGTGCTAGGGAAAATGATATGAGTTACTGCATGTCACAAGTATGAGGTTCACTTCTGTTAGTCGTACCCTTATCACCTGGTTCCTTTCATTCAATAAGGATGTGTCTCGTTTTCTGTCCCTACTTCAGCTGCAAGTCCAAGCATGCAGCAGCAGACTCCAAACCGCACCCTCTACCAGCCACACCCTGCCTACCTCCCCATGGAAGGGGGGGCATACTACCCGCCCCACATGGTCCCGCCCTCCCCCATGGGCGCAGCAGGTACCCCGCAACAGGCCTGGTACCCCTCAGCTTACGGCATGCCCTCGCCGATGCACAACGCCGCCTACTACACCCAGCAGCAAGGTTACGCAATGCCGACTTACGACCGTGGTACCATGTCTCCTGGTATGATGGCGTCGACGCCCAGGAGCAATGGGCGTGGACCGTTGGAGAGCCTCTACGGGATGTATTCCTCCATTGGTGCTTCTCCAGAGGAGAAAGGCACCCCCGAACAGCTTGCCGCTTTACAGAGCCTAAAGGTAAATAATGAATTAGCGCTTGCGGTATTATTATTACCCCAGTCACTGAATAAAATTTAAATTCTGCACTATACATGGACTAGAAATGGTAGACACACAAAACCCAAATCATTTTGTTACCTGAAATCACTTAGACTAAGTATAACAAATATAACTCTTTGAGATTAAAAGCATGACCCTCATGCTTTTCATCTCAAAGAGTTATATTTGTTGTTTATTTGTTTGTTTGTTTGTTTTGTAATCCATGATTTGTAAGTGTTATGATGAAGATTATTTTCTACTAATATAAAGTAAAGATCTAAAGAAAGAAATCAACATGGGGAAAAATGTTGACTAGGCAGACATGTAGATTTTTCAAGGATTTAAAAAATATCGGTCTTAAAGGCATCGTGTAACAATGTTAAATCTGAGATGCATGGCCCTACGCGTTATCAGTGTCTGTGATATGGTGTAATATTGAAGCCCTACAAAAATTTGCTCTTCCAAATGATCATGAAGTGCTTCAAAAAAGAAAACAATCTGTGAGTGATCGGTTTGACCATACTAATTTTCCCAATAGACTGTAGTCAGAACCTGAGACAATGTTACTGAGTCACTTTAATATCCTTTCCCTGCAGCAGCAGCAGCAGCAAGAAACGTCTGCAACTGCAGCCTACAACCAGCGTCTCATAGTGTCTGGAGGAGCAGGAGCAGCGTGCATCCAGGGGACTTCCCCTCATAGCATCCAGGGGGCTTCCCCTCAGAAGCCAGGCCCAGATATGGAAGAGAAGGGCATGCTAGGGAGGGCCAGTGGGACCCCGACCTCGGCTGACAAGCCTGTCATGTTCAAAGGTAAGAGTATGCTTCTTCTGCCTCGCTGTCTTGATGTGTGTGTTCAAGATTTCAGATAACCATCAAGCTCAAGACTTGTATGTATCTTGCAGAGGAAATGAACTGGTTAGATTGGGGGTCATGAGGTCAAAGGTCATGGGACTAATTATGTAGGCAAAAATAGCTTATGAATGCATCATTAGAACCAACGGATAGATTACTATCAAACTCAGGACATGTATGTATCTTGCATGCCAATTAACTGATTAGATTGTAGGGTCACGAGGTCAGAGATCAAAGGGTCATTCATGTATATGACAAATAGCTTGTAATCATGATATTCTGAGAACGTGTTAATGGATTACAATCAAACTTGAAATTAAGAAATTGCTTCTGTTTTGGTTTATAAAAAATTGCTCTATGGCGGAGGCATCATTTTCGACTGCACGCACTCAAAGATCCATTTAGTTTGACAAAGTCTTGAACTTATTCTTATTATCAGGTGGTTCAATTACCAGTGGAATGCCATCCAAGTCTCATGGTGTAGTTCCCCCAGCCATGTTCTCACCAGGCTCCCCATCCCCCTCGGCTGCAGCCAGACCTACCCCTGCAGCCCCCGCCCAGGTGCCCAACAGGGGCTTCATCAGCACCCCTGAGAGGGGCATCGAAAACGTGACTCCGCCCGTGGTGGCCACACCGGGCCTGAGCCACTTTGCAGGGACACCAACCAAACCCCTGGGCACAGCGGAACCAAGCAAAGCGAGTCTCCAGCCCCTGGGGATGGCTAATCAGAATATGCCCGACAGACAGAGGCTGACTATGATGGCAGCTGCTGCTGCTACGGGAGGGGGTTCCCCTTCCCCTGCTTCACTTCATACTTCTGCACCACCTCAGCCAAAGACACAGGTAAGACCTTGCTCAAAACTATGAGATTGTTCAGAATCATAAATTTTTAATCGTGGAGCATTGATTTAAAGAAGTAAACATTGCTTTCATGAAAACATAACGATTATCTCACTCCTTTCACAACAACTTAAATGTCAACTTGATTAGTATCAATGCTGGGCGAACATTGAAGACCCTGGCCATTTTTTGAAAGACAAGAAATAGAACCCTTCTATTTCTTTATTCTTGGTACCAGTCTGTCATGGTTCATGATTTCACTTTGGGCGGTTTTCGAAGCCCCTTTTTTTTGGCCTCCTTGTGATCAGACAATTTTTTCAGACGAGTTCCTATTTACCAACTCATTACTTTGCTTACATATTGCTTTGATTTCATTACGTGTGCACAGAACTTATCGGATGTGTACACATGTACTCATGTGCTTCAAAGGAGCCTATTTCACTTTTTACCAAGGAATATGACATATGTTTTCAGTGGAGCAAAACTCATAATCTTTGGGGAGGGCCAGAGGATAGAAAAATTGATCTTTGTGTGTTTTCCTAATGACTGTAGTAGCGACACGGTAATTCCTACCATTATGCTGTATTGATTCGGATTCCCTGCATGCATTTCTCCATTCTCAACAATAGTTCACAGGATTTACTCCCAGCCCTGCTTCTGCCGCCTCGAAACCAAGTCCAGCCTTCGGCAGCTTCTCCTTCTCACCAAGCACTGTCAAACCAGCACCCTCTATAGCCCAGCCAGCCACCACTTCCTCCTCTGCATCCCCGTTCACTGGCTTCTCCTTCGGCATGTCCACCACGTCTGCTCCGTCAACATCCACCTTATCAACAGCGGGTGTCTTCAAGCCTGCAGGACCTTCAAAGGCCACTCTCCAGCCTGCAGCAGCAGCAGGAGGATCACCAGTGGTCTTCGGCAAGCCTAACCCTAGCCAAGAGACGGCAAGGTCCGCGTCACCGGTGTATCCAGGGTTCTTTTCCTCTCCGAAGGCGGACCAGACGGTACCATCCTCAAGGAAGCCGGGACAGAGTCCTCTGGCCAAGGAGGCTGCATCGCCCAAAGTAGCAGACACACCCAAGTCCGTATCCTTCAAATCAGAGGGTGAAGGTTTGTGAAATTTGAACAAAATTATTTTTCTTGTTATAAAAGAATCCCAGGATGTGTGTACAGGGGGGTGTTTCACAAAGATCCTAAGTCAAACTTAACCCGAAGTTGGACTTAAAGATTATGAAGAGCAATTTGTAGCCTTAAATATATTAAATATATCCAAAAGAAAAAATTGAAGTAGTTTAGACTTTACATAAATTCCACATCAAGAACATGAAATCTCCTTGATGATAGCAAATATGAATCATTTGAATCAACATTTTATGCGTTTTGAAATAACCTTTACAACATATTTTCAATGATGCTAACGGCTTTCCATAACTGTTCAGTCCAACTTAGAGATGAGTTCAACTTAGGATCTTTGTGAAACACCCCCATGGTGTACCATGGATACACCGGAAAAAAAAATTTAAATTTGGAAAGAGAGAGCTTTATTTACCTCACCTGGGTTGAGAGTGGCAAACAGAGTAATGTCTTGCCAAATTTGTGTCACTTCGATCCACAGTCTGGTGATTGTCCACAAGACCAAAACACCTCTGTTTCTAAGAACCTCCTCCTTTACCAGAGGATGGAGTTGAATCTCTGAAACATCTACTTTTCATTAATTACTCTGTTTACTACTTCCATTGTATTAGGATTGTATTAGGAGCAGTTATCTTGTAGTACTCAATAAAATTCTTTGTTTCATGTGAAAGTCGGAACAATCTAAAATTTTTGAGACAATTAATTGAGGTGTTGTGGTCTAGTGGATAAGTCGTTGAACTGTGGATCATAGGGTCCGCGGTTCGAGTCCCGCCGCGCCACTAATGTCCTTTGGCAAGACATTAATCTACATTTGCCACTCTCCACCCAGGTGTTAAATGGGTACTGGTAGGAAGGAATTCCTTGAATGCTGTGTGTGCCGAAATCGGCAGCCTAGCAGAGTATTGGAGCACCTTAAGCATCTTATATGGTGGATATATTCACGTTATAAATATCTGATATTATTATTTTTATTATTATTCCTCATGCTTTGTAATCATACTTCTCTTCACTAGACGATGATGTAATCTTCGTCTCCATGACCCAGCCAACTCCTGGGCAGCGTGCTAGAGCTGAGAAACTCAAGCTCCCTGGTGGTTTCTATCTCTACGAGAATGCCCCTCCCTGCAAGGGGTGCATTGGATGTATCGAAGACCTTGATTTAGATTCGCTTTTTCAGAAAGGACCGGCAGTCAGACCGAAAGGTGAGGGTGTAGGAGTTTCTTCAAGCCTATCTGCACTAGTTTGGCCAGGAGGGATTAGACCTCCCTGCATGGTCGCTGGCAGGGGGTTATGTCATCTAATCAGCTCTCAATTAACATAAGAAAAAGGGGACCATGGGGGACCAACGGGTACCGCTTAGGCATAGTTGGCTATATAGAGGGCGCAAGTAGCTACAAGCAGTGCAGTCCCTTGTTAAACAGGAGATAAGATCCTGCAACGGTGTATGGAATGTGTTGAGAAAGACACTGCTCTGTTCAGAATATTGCCATTATCATCTTGGCAAAAACTTCACCAAACATTTTGCAATCTAAAATTGTTGTACTGTACCCTAGTCATCTTGTTTCATGCAAATGGAGCAAGAAACATGGAGATACATGTAATGCATGAATCGATTAGAATTAAAATTGAAACTCTTTTGTTTTCTTAATTTTGTAGAATCAACTTCATCCGCATTTGGAGCAACTGGAGGAAGCTTGCCTATAAGTTCACCAGGTAATGTTTCAAATTTGAAGAATTCAAATTTTTTTTTTTTTTTACAGGCAAGGTACTACAATGAAAAATGTAGGGAGCCTAAATAAAAAGCATAGCTTGTATGTGAATAGGCTCCCGTACTGAGTAACATAATATAGTGGGTCTGAATTAAATGGGTGTGACAGACCTGCCAACCAATACGTTTTAGTCGTATTTCGTATGATTTTTAGAAGCAAATACGATAGTACGATTTTCCTGAATAAAATACAATTTTTTAATTTAACTTTTGTGTGTGTGTTAGCCATTTACAATGGCAAAATGCCCATTCTGTCCAGTAAAGTATCCTACAAGCATCGCACATTGGCAATTTGGGGATGTTCATTGGCTCATTGAACACAACAGTCGTGACAAAATCATGCATATTCAAATTTTGATCCATAAAAAGAATTCTTCCTGTATGTACGAACTGTAAGAGGCATTGATTCGCGTAACAGTCTGTGTTTATTTTTAAGAATACAACTTTTGTCAGTAAAATACAACTTTTGGGATTAAAGAATACAGTTTTTGAACTCGAGAGGTTGGCAGGTCTGGTGTGAAAGGAGGCGAAATCGGAGTAGTATAGTATGAGCTTTTAGAGACGTACAAGGAGAATGAAATTGAGAAAAAATATAATAAAGAGTAAAGTAAAGTCATCTAGCATATAAGTATTCATGTGTCGTGCAAGGTTCTGAAATCATTACAATGTTAAGAAATTTGGCCCAGTCTTGGTAAGTAACAAGCACTACACAGAAAGATATATATATGGGACTACACTAACATGTGGCCGAAAAATCTGTCCCAATTTTTATAATGTTACATCCCATATTTAGAAAATTAGGGCATTTGAAGAGCCATGCTTTTCAGGGAACATTCTTTATCTTATGTTCTTTCACACTTGCATAATAACAATGATAATACTCACAAATAATCGGTTCACATCTTACCGGAACTCAACCTTCTCTTTAAACACTATAAGTGGTTTGATTGTTAATGATATTTTACCTTCCATTGTAAAGGGGGAAGCATGTTTGGAGGTGGTGACGTAGAAGGAGGAATGTCATTTGCGACTTTAGCAGCCCACCAAACAGACGGATTTGAACAGCCTTTCGGCAAAAAAGGTAGGAACGAAATGTGTTTTAAAGCCTCTCCTTCTCCCCCGCCCCTCTTAAACAAAAAAATGAGCTTACATTAAAATATAAGATGATTAATTTCGTAATAGTGAATGAAAAACATCTATAGGACATACCGGTTTGTTAATACATTGGTTATTGAACAAAGAAGCTGATATGAAGAATAGTCAGTTCACAATACTTCATCAAGAGATTACATCATTAACTATTACTATGCCTTTTCATTGGTAATTGATTTCCTTAATTATCCTTTTGTCCATAACTCTTCAAAACTCTTTCACATAATGGTCCCATCCTCTCCATATTATATATTACATTCAAAACTAGGGTCTTTACTCATGGAATTCTTGTTACCTCTCTATTTGGTATCCAGCATTATACAAACAACTCTCCTTTGTGAATGCTCTTGCCCCTCCCTGCTGAATGTTACATGTGAAAATCCAGGGGAGTGTTTCGCGAAGACTAAGATCGACTTTAAGTTAGACTTAACTATGGCAGGCTGTTCATGCCACTGTTTTCTCTCACCATTTACTGGCATTGGTCTCTCAAGGGACGTCCAAATCATAGTTACAAATCAACATTATTTTTTCATTTTTGTCATAGTTCATTATTAAAGGAAAATATATTATCCAAAGGTCATAATGGTCAGAGCAACCAGTAGCATGAATGGCCTTCCATATTTAAGTCCAACTTTAAAGATAAACTTGAGTACTGGTAATGCGATTGCATTGTGAAAGAAAAGGTGTGGAATGGATCAGAAAAGTTGATCATATAGCATGTAAGTAATGGTGTGTAATGCAAGGTTCTAGAGTCATCAAAATCATCATAAATTTGGCAGAGTCTTGGTAAAGTAACAATCACTTACACAGATAGATGTATATGGGACAACACACATGGTGTCGGGGCTATTACTACCCTGATTTCCTTATCTTTCTATGCTCATTACTCAGCCAGTATACATTTTCTTCCAAAATTGTTTGGCACATGACATTTATTTGTAATCTTGAACATTCAGTGTAAGTTTTGTTAGATTCTGTGAGAATTCATTTTCTTTTTTTACCAGAACTCAAGTTTATCTTTAAGTCTACCTTAGTCCTTGTGAAACATTTTCCAGGGTCTGTTTCTTTACCTGTAGAATTCTTTATACTTCTTTTCTCCTTCACCGTCCAAATCCAGCATCTGACAAACCATTCGCCTTTGCCCACACCGGGGCCCCCGTCTTCGGAGGTGGCGGTGTTTCCCATGGCAACGATGACAACGATGACTCAAACGGTGGCGGTGAGGAGTACGACCCCCACTACGAGCCCATCGTGTCGCTCCCTGACATCGGCAGTATCAGCACCGGGGAGGAGGATGAAGCGGAGATGTTCCGCCATAGGGCCAAGCTCTATCGATATGATCGCGACAACAAGGCGTGGAAGGAGCGCGGCGTCGGAGACATCAAGGTCTTGAGGAACCCCAAGACTGGCAATGCTCGCATTCTCATGAGGAGGGATCAGATCTTAAAGGTTTGTTCATAGTAGATGTGCTGGGGGTGTTTAACAAACACTTAGATTGACTTTAAGTTGGACTTAACTATGGCAGGGCATTAATGCCATAATTTTCTCTCGCCATCTTCTGGCATTGGTCTTTCAAGGGACGTACAAATCATGGTCACAAATCTACAGATTTTACATTATTTTATAATTCATTATTGAAGGAAAAAATGTTATCTAAAGATCATAATTGAGAGACCAATAGTGAGAGCAACCAGTGGTATGAATGGCCTGCCATTGTTGAGTCCAACTTAAAGTCGATCTTAGTCTTTGAGAACACCCCCCAGGACTTCTATCTCTTTGAAGATGAATTGTGTATTTTCGCTGATGGCAGTCATTGTATCTTTTATGAAATTCATAGCCATTACGACCAAATCATTACAGTGCGAATGAATAATGTCTTTTCACAATGAATTGGATCATTGATGTCAGACCTCTGTGTTGGTCTCCACTAGTTCTACCAATGGTTTGACCTTTGACCTTTCAGCTGTATGTTAGCCAGTGATTCACATCCGACGTGTACCTGAATCTAATGATAGCATCACTAAAAATTTACTTCTTACAGTGTCGCCTTCCTTTTAGATAGATGATATAACCTTTCACATGTGAATATTTAGTTACATTTCAAATTAGGGCTGCGACGAGTAGTCGAATGCTCGAGTACGATTTCTCTTACTCTAATATTCGGCCGCAAAAAAAAAAAAAAAAATCCCAGGCCGGCAGTTACCCATGCCAGAGAGAGCAGCGGCGGCTTGCATGGTGTCGTCGGTTAAAAATGTTTCCCAACTCAAGCACTGTCAAACTCACCACTCAGAAACTGGGACCAAATTTCCAGATTTCTGTTTGGACTTGGAGGAAAATGGATTATTCTGCCATCTTTGGTTTTTAAAACACTATTGTTTACTGTTATTATTATTATTAAATCGGCGCCTTCAACTGCAACTCGAAGTAAAATTGCATGCGTTTTTGGCGATGGACTTGGGATACTGCTCCAGTGGTATGGTGGTGGCAAAAAAAAATCAAAAATCAAAAACAATAACAAAATCAAAAAAATCAAAAAAATTCAACAACAAAAATTTTTTTTTTTTTAAACATGGCGTTCAAATATTTGTGTATTCGCTTGTTAGCCTGGGAGTGTACTCGGGTACCTCATTACACTGTTGTGCACAGCCTTATTTCAAATAGTCTGTTAAGTTCATTTGATGAACAGTGTGACCTTTGATCTCTGTTCTTTGAAGTTGTGTGCGAGCCATTTTGATCACATCTGACTTGTACCTAAATCGGATGATGGCTTTCTTTTCTCTAACTCGACCTGTTACCTTGTTTCCTAAAGTGCCTTTCTCTCTATAGATAAATAAGTTGACCTTTGACATGTAGAAATGCAGTCATTTATATAAAAGTGTCCGTAAATTTCATTTAATGAACAATGTGACCTTTGATCTCTGTTCTTTAAGGCTTTGCGTAAACTACTGGGTCACATCAGATATGTACCTGAATCTGATGATAGCTTCTCTGTAATTTGACTTAGTGCCTTCCTCTCTTTAATTAAACAAGTTGACCTTTGACATGTGGAAATGCAGTTACATTTTAAACCGTCTGTAAATTTGATTTGATGAACGGTGTGACCTTTGATCCTTGACCTTGCAGCTGTGTGCCAACCACTGGATCACAGCAGACATGGTCCTGAAGCCGGTGATAGCTTCTCTTTAAATTGACCTGTTGCCTTCCTAAAGTGCCTTCCTGTCTTATAGATTAACAATGTGACCTTTGATCTTTGACCTTGCAGCTTTGTGCCAACCACTGGATCACAGCAGACATGGTCCTCAAGCCGATGATGGCTTCGGAGACTGCGTGGATCTGGTTCGCCGTGGACTTCTCAGAGGAGGAGGCCAAGACCGAGCAGCTGGCTGTCAAGTTCAAGCATGTCGAGGATGCCAAGCGCTTCAAGGAGTGTTTCCTTGAGGCTCAGGAACTACTAGGGGTCAAGGAAGAAAAGGAGGAGGAAGAAGAAGAGGAGGTCGTCAGTAAGGTATGTACATGCATGAAAGAGATGTAGACTGTACAATAGTGTTTGGTTGAAATTTGATCAAGTTCAAGCACGTCGAGGATGCCAAGTGCTTCAAAGAATGTTTCCTTGAGGCTCAGGAACTACTAGGGGTCAAGGAAGAAAAGGAGGAGGAAGAAGAAGAGGAGGTCGTCAGTAAGGTATGTACATGCATGAAAGAGATGTAGACTGTACAATAGTGTTTGGTTGAAATTTGATCAAGTTCAAGCACGTCGAGGATGCCAAGCGCTTCAAGGAGTGTTTCCTTGAGGCTCAGGAACTACTAGGGGTCAAGGAAGAAAAGGAGGAGGAGGAGGAGGAAGAAGAAGAGGAGGTCGTCAGTAAGGTATGTACATGCATGAAAGAGATGTAGACTGTACAATAGTGTTTGGTTGAAATTTGATCAAGTTCAAGCACGTCGAGGATGCCAAGTGCTTCAAAGAATGTTTCCTTGAGGCTCAGGAACTACTAGGGGTCATGGAAGAAGAGGAGGAGGAGGAGGAAGAAGAAGAGGAGGTCGTCAGTAAGGTATGTACATGCATGAAAGAGATGTAGACTGTACAATAGTGTTTGGTTGAAATTTGATCAAGTTCAAGCACGTCGAGGATGCCAAGTGCTTCAAAGAATGTTTCCTTGAGGCTCAGGAACTACTAGGGGTCATGGAAGAAGAGGAGGAGGAGGAGGAAGAAGAAGAGGAGGTCGTCAGTAAGGTATGTACATGCATGAAAGAGATGTAGACTGTACACTGGTGTTTGGTTGATATTTGATCAAAGCATTTTGAGGAACATTTCCGTGAGACCAAGTAGCTAGTAGTGGTCAAGGAAGATTTAGAAGAAGGAAGAGAAAGACGAAAGAGACATGGCTGTCAGTATCAAAGGTATGTACGTGTATAAACAAGATTGAACAATATTTTTTGGTTGATATTTGACGAAAACACTCAAAGTAACTTTCGTAGTGGCTGAGAGACCACTAGGGGTAAAGGAAGAAGGGAAGGAGGAAGAGGAGAAAAGAAAAAATTGTCTTTTATGTACGAACAAGCTAGAGATGATGTGGACTATACGTTACGGCCAAGAAAATAAAATTATGGTTGACCTAACAAAGACATGGAATTTTTTGTGAATTTGCTTAATTTGTCTCAAATTGGCAACTCTGAAATTTCAGTTTATCCTTTGTTGTTATACTGACCAATCAGTCTTCAGACTTTATAAATCTACAAATGCAAGGACTAAAATATAACACACAATTTCATAAACTACCTTAAACCAACGCTGGCACTGTGAATGTTCTGGTGTTAATGAAGGATACGAGGCAATACAAAAGGATGGTTGAGTTTAGTTAGTTGTATAGTGCCTCCATATTTATGATTAATTCTTTCTTTCTTTTTTCAAACAGACCACCGAGAGCAGGTCCCTTAGAGCATCGGAAGCTAACCCACAGCTTACAAGCCTTCTTATGGGAAACAATCAACTCTCAATGGGGAAAGGGGTAAGTATCTCTCAAAGAGCTCAAAATTAGAATTTATTTTTGAAAGAGTATGTTAGTGAGAGCATTTAAATACTCTACTAGTGTTAAGAGCAGATGATCGTCAACAAAATTCATATTGATCCCTAAAACTTTGATGATTTTTTTTTTTTTGTCAATAGAGAAATGACGGTGCCTTCATCATTGGATGATATTTTTAAAAGGGGGTGTAGCATGGCAAATAATGGCCTCTATGACTTCTTTTGGACAACTGCACGTAAATGAATGGACTTGATTAACAGTCAGCGCGCGCTAGCATTTGCGAAACAGACAGAAGTTCTCCTCACGCTTCGGTTTCATGTATGTTGCACGCACGTGAATACTGCGGTCGCGTTGTTCGTAGTCGTATTATACCCGATCGGACCGAGTCAGGCCACGGAAAGACACCTAGTCTCATCATGCTACAGCCCCTTTAATATGACCCCAGTTTAATGGGGAGCCCTTGAGTCACGATGTTTGCATAGCTTAACATTCAGCACTGCGTTCACTGGATGTGCTGTATCAATTGACCATATATCAGTTCACCTTAATGCTGAACATGCACAAAACTCAACATATTGGAGAGGCAGGAAAAGAGGCTGAAATTCTACTAATTGTATCGATAAAATCAGCTGAGAGTGGTGGGAAGTGATTTCTGTAATGCTTTCAGTGCCCTTTTTGCAAATTGGCTTAGGTCTTGTTTCTACTAAGAAAGTGCCTTGAGCATCTCTAGGATGGATATGTGCCGAATTATATGATGAAAGTCGTGCTAACTCGGACCCGGGGACACCTCGTCCCGTTGCGAATACGGGGCCGAGTTGTCCTGCATGATTGATTTTTTAATGAAATTTTTTTGGGTTAGGGATAGTTTTTAAGGTTAGAGTAGGATTTAGCATTAGGGTCAGGGTTAAAGTTAGGGTAAGCTGGGACAACTCGGCTCCGTATTTGTGGCTAGGCCGAGTCCGAGTTAGCCCGGATCCATATGATGTACATGTAGGTGTTACTACCACTAATTTTTTTTTCTCTCTCTTTTTTTCACAGTCATCAGCCAGTCTTGCAGCAAAGTTTGCCAATAAACCTGGTTCATGGGACTGCGATGCCTGTTACTGTAACAATGCAGCTGAGTCTTCTGCCTGCGTAGCATGTACCGCACCAAAGCCAGGTACAGATCCCAAACCATCTACCGGCGCTGTCGGTGGTGCCTTTGCTTCTCCAGCGGGTTTAACCTTTGGTGCTAAGCCAAGCGGTGCAAGTACTGGATTTGGCTTTGGAAGTCCTCCAACCACCGGAAGTACCACTGGTAGTGGCGTCGCCTTCAAGACACCTGCTGGGTTCAGCTTGTCTGGAAGTTCTTCCGCCTCGAAAGGTGCCACCCCTGACTCAACAACGACTGATGGTGCTGCACCGTCAAGTGTAGCATTCAAGGTTCCTGCAGGGTTCAGCCTCTCATCTAAGTCGGCACCTTCAACCGGATCCGTCTTTGGAGAAAAGAAGGACGACACCCAGAAGCCAAAAGAGAATGACGGTGCCACTAAGACACCTTCAACAGGCTTTGCGTTTTGTGCCGCCGATAACAACGAGGCGGCACCATCAACTTCTGCCGGTGCAACCACTCCAGGCGGTACCTTGGTCACAGACAAGTTCACCTTTGGTAAACACATGCCTCAGTTCTCCTTTGGTAGCAAGGATAAATCCAAGCCTGATGCAGGGTTCGCCTTCGGTAAACCAGATGCACCAGACGCGGGTGAAACCAAGGAAGGGTACCCATTCTCAAGTGCCCTGAAGGTGAGTGTACTATCACAACTATAACATGCCGGTGCCCATTGTACATTATCACATCATGGTATAAAGTGATAATGATAAGATTGTTTATCAAACTTGAATATTTACATTTTAGACATTGGTTCGATGGACGCTGAACATCGTAGCTAATTATTCTTTTAAATATGCAAATATGCCAAATACATAATGACAATGCACTTTTACAATAGATAGAAAGAAGATCAGTCACTAAACTCAAAAGTTTAAAAAAAGTATGAATTCTTGCAGATTGGATTTTACATGTAGTTCAAAAATGTTTTGTTTAGTTGAGTTGAATTTTCTATCCACCCATTATCTACCAAATTTCTTTTCATTGATTCTTGTCAAACATGTATACCTGGTTCACTCTGAGGGCCATGGGCTTAGATTTAGCAAAGTTAAAACTCTTGAGCCTGTAAGCTTTGTTTGAAATCAGGTTTAACAAAGTAACGTTAAACATGATTTTCAATCCAGGGCTAGGTTTAACTAAATGAGTAGAATAGGGACCTTTGAGTTGAGTTACTAATCTTCTTTCTTCCAATTTTATGCCAGTGCTCTTTTCTTTGATTCTTTCCAAATTCCTTGGTTCACACTGAAGACCATGGGCTCAGATCCAGGATAACTTTGTCATCTTCTTGATGCTGAATTTATACCATTTTTCTTTTCTTTTCTTTCTTGCTGAATCAAAGTCCTTGAGCTCGGATGCTGAATCCAAAGCAGCGGACGCCTCCACACCGAGCAAACCCACTCTGTCTTTCACCGACATAGCCAAGTCTCAGGGTTTATCTTTCACCTTCCGCTGAATTTATACTATTTTTCTTTTCTTTTCTTCTTGCTGAATCAAAGTCCTTGAGCTCTGATGCTGAATCCAAAGCTGCGAACGCCTCCTCATCATCAGCATCCTCCTCTACACCGAGCAAACCCGCTCTGTTCTCCACCGACAAAGCCAAGTCTCAGGGTTTATCCTTCACCTTCCGCTGAATTTATACCATTTTTCTTTTCTTGTTCTTGCTGAATCAAAGTCCTAGAGCTCTGATACTGAATCCAAAGCAGCGGATGGCTCATCATCGGCATCTTCTACACCAAGCAAACCCGCTCTGTCCTTCACCGACGTCGCCAAGTCTCAGGGTTCGTCTTTCACCTTCTTGATGCTGAATTTATATCATTTTTCATTTCTTTTCTTCTTGCTAAATCAAAGTCCTTGAGCTCTGATGCTGAATCCAAAGCGGCGGACGCCTCCTCATCATCTGCATCCTCTACGCCAAGCAAACCTGCTCTGTCCTTCACCGACATCGCCAAGTCTCAGGGTTTATTTTTAACATTCCGCTGAATTCATACAATTTTTCTTTTCTTTTCTTCTCGCTGAATCAAAGTCTTTGAGCTCTGATGCTGATGCAGACGCCTCATCATCTGCCTCATCCTCTACACCCAGCAAACCTGCTCTGTCCTTCACCGACATAGCCAAGTCTCAGGGTTCGTCCTTCACCTTCCGTATGGACCTCAACGCGGTGACTGCCAAGAGCCCCATCAAGTCCCCTGGAGGAGCCAAGTCTCCGGGCGTGGGAAGGTCTCCGAAGACCTCCTTCTCCAGGGGAGGTAGGACGCTGTCTGGAGGCTCCGTCGACGAGGTGGAGCAGGTGGAAGATATCTACTTTGAGCCCATCTTCCAGATGCCGGATGATTACGAAGTCAAGACGGGTAAGTGCTCTCTGTGTTCTCATGTTAAGTGCTTGACTTGCAATTCTAAAGCTGGGGTAATAATAAATGTGCCTCGGAATAGAAATTCTAGATAGACAGTGCTATAGAAATGCCTATTATTATTCATACCTCGAGTCTCACCACCATAGTGACTCCAAAGTGACCCCAAATAATGATAATGATAATAATTTACTAAAAGGAACCTGTCTTCAATGACAACTTTTAGTGTTCGACTGTATCATCATTATTCTGTTAGTAATTTTGTTTTCCTCCATTTTGGGGTGGTTGTATTTTTTGTAGGAGAGGAAGGAGAAGAAGTAAAGTTCAGTCACCGAGCCAAGTTATACCGTTACGATGGTGAAGCAAAGGCATGGAAGGAGAGAGGTGTGGGAGACATCAAGGTTCTCTACAACGCTCAAGATCATGCCTATAGGATCGTTATGAGGAGAGAACAGGTACGACAACAACTTTTTTTAAGGTTCTATGTCCCATTTGCAGGCCAAAAAATGAAAAGGTTAATTTTCAACGTCATTTGAAATTCAATACTGATTTAGAACTGTACCGAATGGTGGTATGTTTTGTGCTGCACAAAGATTCAATCAGTTTAATTTTAGCCTTTACAAGTAGTGGGTTATTGATGTAGACAAATGCTCATGTACCTGTTACAGCTCATTTTATGTTTGTTATTACCAAAGAAAAAAAGATGTCATTGGAAACCAAAAACAAAAGAATTCCAATTTTACTACCATGCATAATGTTTTACATGTAATTTTACTTTGTCACTGATGTATACCTTGTGAAAGAAACTGCAATTCGGCTCTCGGGCCGCGAATGTTTTTTAAAGAAATAAACCATTTTAAATAAAAAAAATTAAAAAAATTTCAGTCAGTCACTCAATCGTGTCTGACAGGGAAGTCTAGAAAGGACAGAGGTTTCCTTGCATAATTTGAATACTAGGACATTGCTAAAGTTTAAATTTCACAGATAGGACATACATGACATATTCATAATTCCTGCAAAGTTCTACAGAATTTGATGTTGGCTGCAAAAGGGACAGAGTATCTTTAATGTAATATCCACCAAGTCTTGTATCAGCCAATTATAACCTACTGCATCAATACTGACTTCCGTCTCCCTATAAACATTCAAATCTGTCACTGTTCCAAATTAAAACCAATTTTTGTTTTATCCCTTAGGTGTTCAAAGTGTGTGCAAACCACTTCATCACCTCCCACATAGAGCTTTGCCCTAACTCTGGCTCTGACCGTTCATGGGTGTGGTCAGCAATGGACGCTTCGGAAGGAACGGTCCAGAACGAACAGCTGGCCGTCCGCTTCAAGACGGCAGACACGGCCAAAGAGTTCAAGGAGGCTGTCGACAAGGCCAAAGAAGATTTAGAGAAGGGTGGAGGAAAGGAAACAAAGACTGATGGCGCAGGTACATATCTATCTCCAATTTTGATGAAGACACCAAATGTCATTAAGAAACACGCTGTGTTTTCTTGACAGCCGACATATGCCCCTGTGCTTCTTTTGTGTGTTCTTTTCATTTTCAAGTCATCCAAAAAATATTAAAATATGTAATCTTTCTTTTCCAAAGAGCACTTTGCACATTGACTTGTCTTCTAACCTGAGACCTAACCAGTTACAAGACCACTGCTCTACCACTTTTTGATTTGTATATCAGGAGGCGCGATAGCTCAGTTGGTAGAGCAGTGGTCTCGTAATCCGGTGATGCGTTGGTGCCCTTTGGTAAGGCATTAATCCCCATTACCAGGTCCATCAGAGAGGACCTAAAGCCATCGGTCGTCTAGTTAATTTAATGCTTACAAGTATTTATGCTTTCTTTGCAGTTAGGTAAAATAACCACCACTACTACTTTTATTTCCTGACCAGACTCTAAAAGTGCCGAGCCGGTAGTCAGGTCATGTGATCCTAACCTCTCGTCTGTTCTAGCTGAAGCTATCAAGGCATCGTCGGAACCCAACGCTGCAACCTCAACCATTCAATCAAGTGAGTCAGTCATCCGCAGAAATACATGAATTGTTTTACTGGGTTCAAACAAATTTAAAACCTTTTGATCATAATGATCCAATCCAATCCAATCCAGGAATTTATAAAGCGCCAATATCTAGTTGCCTAATTAAAGGCGCTGATGAGACTGAAAAACTACCAAAAATGTATGTCCATGATTCTAACTGAAATCTGAAATTGGTATGTCTTTAGTTGAGTTATGAAAGTGGATAACTGGTGACAAGAGCGAAGGATGATAATGATAGCCACAATAATGGTTTCTCACATCACATGCTCCAGCAACAATTACTCTGAATATGGGTAAAACGCTTTGCCCAAGAATGTATTACGCACCAAGCAAAGTTTACACCCAGAAACTTTTTTTTTAGTAGTTAAGAGTCTTTACCAATATGCCTCGCTGAACCCCTTGTGATTACTATAATATGGCCTGTGTATCACACAAACCTGCTCTAACTTCAATGTTGTAGCACAAGGGTTTATATAATTATGAAAGAATGCATCGAACAGTGTAATGACTATATCACATAGTAAACATAAATTTGATCTCTTCATTGCCGGAATGCTCCCTGGGGAGTGGAGAATGTTCATACATAGTGTGGTAAGCCTGAATCAGATGACCAGGGTAATAATATATCTGTAAAGCGCTTAGACACTTTGTTGTATCGATGTATTGGGTGCTATATAAAAGCGGAATATTATTATTATTATTATTAATCACAATTTATACAAATTAATAAAATCTCATTATTTTGTTGAAGTCGGTGGCGAAGTGAACCCAGAGGAAGAGCGAGACATCCACTTCCAGCCGATCGTCAAACTCCCAGACAACGTGGACATCGTCACAGGGGAGGAGCACGAGGTGGCCGCGTTCGTTGGGCGTGGCAAGCTCTACCGGTTTGATGGAGGGGTGCGGCAGTGGAAGGAGAGGGGCGTCGGTGATATGAAGATCATGAAGGAGGAGGAGACGGATGTTTATCGTATCGTCATGAGAAGAGATCAGATACACAAGGTATTCATTGTAATATTCCTGGGCCCTGTCTTACAAAGACTTACGATTGATCCAAATCAATCGCAAATAAGCTACGATTGATATCAACTCTTTGTAAGACGGGGCCCTAATTTGTATAGAATTGTAAAGCCCCACTACACTACTACTAGCTACTTGTGCCCCCTATATAGCAAACAATGCCTGAGCGGTGACCGGATTTGATGAGATAACCACCTGCCAGTGACCATGCAGGGAGGTCTAATCCCTCCTGGCCAAACTAGTACAGATACGCTTTAACTCATTGCATACAGGAACCGGGTGATCCCTGTATTAAAGCCAATGGGTATGGGAGAATCCAGGAGTCAAGGGGTTAAATGTCTCTTGTGCACCTATCAATAATAACCCGTCATCAAGTTAACCAGAATATTTTGAACCATTATTTACAGGTGTGCGCCAACCACTACATCACCAGTTCCATTGCTCTCCACCCGATGGCCGGTTCAGACCACCCCTGGGTGTGGCATTCCATGGATGCGGTCTTGGACCTTTGCTAACCAGAATATTTTGAACTATTATTTACAGGTGTGTGCCAACCACTACATCACTAGTTCCATGGCTCTGCACCCGATGGCCGGGTCAGACCGCGCCTGGGTGTGGCATGCCATGGACGCAGCCGATGGAGAACCGACCTCGGAGCAGTTAGCCATCAAGTTCAAAGATCCATCCATTGCTGCATCCTTCAAGGAGATGTTTGAGGAAGCCCAGACCAAGATCGGACTCCAAGAAGCCGCTGGTGATGATGATGGACAGACTGGGAGCCAGGAGGAGGGAGGAGCTACAGCATCATCATCGTCTACCAGTCATGCGGGAGACGGCAACAAAGGTGACTAGCTAACGTGAGGCTAAGTCTGAGAGGAAATGAGTCATCGTGCACTCTCATTTTCATGTATTTTATAGCATGGCATCTCACGCATCTTCATACCTCTTATCCACGCATTATCATGTTCTTGCATCCCACCTGCATTTTGGGTTTCTAACTCTCGTCATATTCTCTGTCACGCTTTGTAAGTCAGTAGCATGCACTTCTTCTTCTTTACGTACCATATCCTGAGCCGACCATGGAAAGCCTCAACTCTCTGTCCCAAATTCTATGAAGTGATTCATTCTCCCCAAGATCAATTCCACTTTCAGAAATCCCACTCTTAATCATCCACAGAAACCTCCTTCTACCCCTACTCCTCCTCCCTCTATTCTTCCAGTCAGTGCAAGATTTTCCAAATCTTTCTTTCGAATAACATGACTCAAGAAGCTCAACTGTCAACCTCTCATATTATTCAGAAGCTTTTGTCTTATTCCTGCCATGGCAAATACCTCATTATTAGAAACTTTCTCTGTCCAGCATCCTTCTCAGGAACCAAACTTGAAATTTTTCCAGTCGCTTTCTTAGATATGATTTCTTAGGTCTCTGTCACGCTTTGTAAGTCATATAATGGATTAGAATGTGAAAATAACACTATTCACCAAAATCAAACTGCTGCATTATTATTTTCCAAGTTCCAATTTACAATTACATTTAAATTTTCACTGGCCACCTGTGGCACTTGGACAGCTATTTATAAACGAGTGGCAAGTTTGCAGAAAACCCATAGAAACTTCTATTCATTCTATAATTAATGTTTCTATGAGATGCCCAAGAAGTTAGAATCACATGATCTAAGATATAGGGTTAGGGTTTGAAAGAACAGGTCTGCATGGCCAGATAACAACTTAGGGAGTAAATTTGCAGTACATGAAATCCACAACTTCCACCAGTGTCCTTCATTTCACTCCTGACAGCGGACAGTTAACCTGTCCAAAACATTGAGTCTTTATTGATTCTCAGTCCTTTTTTAGGACTTCTCAATCAGCATGATATTATACAAACAGTCCTTTAAAAGGGATCTGGTAACTTTGTCTCAGATTCTGAAACAAAATCCTGGATTTAGCTCATGCTGCAATGATTATTATAAACCTTTAGGTCATTCAGGAACCCCATGACTTTTACAAGCCGATCGCCTGTCTGATTATCAAGATATTTATAATTGGAATTACACATTTTGAAAACCGTTTGCCAAACGGTTTTCATAACACTACAGTCTTTTGGGGAAAACGAGTATGGTAAAACTGGTCCCTCAAAGATTTTTACTTTTTTGAGGCACTTCTTGATTATTTTGAATCACAATTTTTTTTAGGGCTTCAATATCACACTATATCACAGACACTGATAACACATAGGGCCATGCATCTCAGATTTAACATTCTTAAACGATGCCTTTAAGGACTATCCACATGGTAGTACCACAAATCCGCTCTTTAAGGGCTAAGGTTGAATTGAGAATTTAAGCTAGGTTTAGGGTTAGGGTAATGAACAGTAATGGTTTCATTGTTGAAGTAAGGAATTTGATCGTGTAGGAAATTGACCTTAGAGTCATTATCACCAGAGCGTTTGTCATAGAGCCCACTGTAAAGTACTTGACTTAGATAAACCTCATGTGCTTCTTTTGGGTTTGCTCAAGCTGCATTTTGCCTTTTAAAAACCCTATATCCTCCGACAGTGTCTTACATGTACATCTTTATTTGTTTTAGATCTGTTCTTCTCATACATGCAATGCCAAGTGAAACTGAATTTTAAGATAATCCATTTTTTCTTCTTTAATGTTGCAATAAACAAGAGTGGAAATTTGGTTTCTAATATTTACTTTGACTTGTTTTGACCTTTGCCATAGAGCCCACTGTAAAGTACTTGACTTTATAGATAAACCTCATGTGCTTCTTTTTGGTTTGCTCAATCTGCAATGTATGCAATCTACCTGATATGAAATTGGTCCATTAAATAATAGCATGACCCTACCTAGCCCCAAATGTTTGTCTTGTTGCCTGAATGTATGTACACATATTTATCAACACTTTTTAACTTACCTTGGGCCAACGAAGGCGCGATAGCTCGGTTGGTAGAGCAGTGGTCTCGTTATCCGGTGACCCGGGTTCGAAACCAAAGCGATGGCTAGAGCCCTCTGCTAAGGCATTAATCCTCATTACCAGGTCCCTCGGCGAGGACCTAAAGCAGTCTGCTGTCTGGTTGCTTACTAACAAGCATTTATGCTTTCTTAGCAGTCGGGTAAAATAACCACCACACTCATTTCTTTCCTTACATATAGATCAACTGGAACTGAAGAAGGAAAATGAGGAAGAAGAAGAAGAAGAAGAAGAAGAAGAGGAAGAAGAAGATGAGGAGGAATATGATGATGAAGAGGGCGATTATGAAGATGAAAGTGAGGAGGAGGAGGAAGACGAGGATGAGGTTTACGAGTACGGTGAGGATGATAATGACAACGATGAAAGCAAATCGGAAACCCAGTGAGCTTCTTTGTTTGCTTGCTTGGAGACAAACTCAACAGCAGCGATAACTCTGATGGACCACGGACATCATCACCCTCATCGACATCGACATCGTCCACCAATAATGCCAGAGAAGATAGAATTAGAGGCATTTAGTGAAAGATGCGTAGTCAACAAACAATATGCATCCATAGATGTTTATGTTTTCTATACCCTATTTTGTATTTCATTCCTAAGGGGGTTTTTTTTAATGGATCTACCCCAAGTGGAAAATTTCATGGAATGATTAACCTTTTTTTTATAGCATTTGTTGTTGAATTGACATGAAAATTTAGTATTTAGAGGAAATTCTAGCAATTATGGCTGACATGGAGCTCACTGGTGTAATGTTCCAAGTTATGATTGAAAGTGAATGGGAGATACAGGTACTTTGTTTAAATTCTCATACCGTTGAAACGGTTATTAAAGGATGCTATAGAGATTGTCAAGTAACAATGTAAAAGTCTAGTTGCGCCCTTCAGATGAAGATCATTAAGCCTTCTTCTCACAAAACATTGTAAACTGTTTGAATATAAAAAGTGCTGTACGAAACTTGAAACTTGTGCAAACAAGTGGCAGGTAGCAGTGAACAAAAAATCTTGCTGCACGCGCTTTAGCAATTCAGGGAATTTATGGGATAAAGAAATGTGAAGAGCACTACTCTTGTGCCATTAAATTTTGCCATGTCATTTCTTGTTGAGGAGTGGGTTGGCAGTTCACAATGTTGTGTAGAATCATGGCTGAAGAAATTAAACAAACGCTTTACACATTCCTATAAGAAATGATCACTGGCAACCGATGTATGGTGTGGCCTGCAACACAAATAACTACTTTTACTACATAAGACAATGCTTATAGGTACAGTGGATTGACAATTATATACTAAATTAGTGGAAAGTTGGGTATGCAGTTGAAGAGAGTTGAGTTCTTTCCTGCGTATCATCAGTTTGGAGCCAGAGGGGCGGTAACTCCTACACTTTGACACGGAGTTCAAGCCCTTCTGGCTCTGAACAGAGGATGCCATTACTGAAGATAATTTGAATTTTGTTAATAAGTGTGTCTCAAAATACTGAGTTGATGAGATTTTAGGCAAGTTGGAGGCTTTCCTTTGTCACTTTCCTACCTTTTCAGGAGCATACATGTAGATAATGAAAATAATTCAAATATATGTTATGAATTCAATGATTAATAACAGTCAAGATAATCTAAGATCCTTTATTTTCCAACTTAATTTCAACCATTACTCTCTCTTTGTCGTCTTGTATGAAAATCATGTGGATTGCATACTGACAGTGTATTTCTCTCTATTTCTTTCATCAAATTATTAAGTAATGCTACCACTATGCCTAGGCTATTTATCCTGTAGTCCCATGCACTTATTATTATGTCGCATGGAGAGTAAACGTTTTCGACGATGGTGTTTCCTACTAAAATGTATCAGAGGTTTAAGGACTTACAAAAGAGGCAAGTGTTTAATATAAACCAGATGATGATCTTTTTTGCTATGTACAATCGTTCTCCCATGAAAACATGAAATGATTATAGTTTTTGTTTCGATTAACCTTTTTTTTATGGTATAGTGCTTTCCATATTGTTTTATTTTTTGGTGTATATGTCCTCGTCAAAGAATTTTGTGTCCTGTGTTAATGTTGTAAAGAAAGCCTAGTAAGCCTTCCATTATCAAATATTTGGATGTAATTTTTAAAGTAAGAACACGCCTTATTGTTGATTCATTTTAGCGTATAATAAAATATTGAGTTGATGCTTGTACGTTTCTTTCTCTCTCTCAATCTACTTTGTGGTGTCCCTTTTGTAAGGTTTAGAGGGGATTAAAGTATTGGTAATAAAACAGGTAGGGAAAACAAAATTGACAAATTCAAACAACAATATAAAAGACGAAAGTGTATACTAGCAAAGTAATGACCGAAGAAATTCAAAGAAAGTGAGGTACCGTACTATATGAACAGGAAATTCCTGGTGCATGAAAGTGGTTCAGAATCACATAAGATTCATGCCGTTATGTGAATTAATTTAATCCAAATTGACATAGCCATAATTTGTGGACTTCGTGAAAGATTCTTTCTTTGAAAATGGTTGACCTTACATGAAATTCTCAGTTTTGGGGGTATCAATCCCAGAGGGTCCAAGACCTTGGGCATAGCTTGTGCAAATGTCCCTTGTGACATATGTTATTTTGTTTGAAATTTGTTGGTCCAGGCAACCAATGAACTATTCAGAATGACGAAATAGTTTCTCTCAAAAAGCAATTCCACTAATGATTCATGATAAGCTTTAAAGTGTACCAATCATTTTGTTTATTAATGGTTTGTTTAGTAGGCCCATGTCATAATATTATAATGCCAACTATGTGAGCTTCAAATATTACTTATGAAGAAACTTTGCAGTTATAAATTGTATACACTCTAATAAATTAACATAAATTGACTTGTGAGTAGAATACTAAACGCACCCGTACATGCTCGCATAAAAAAATGTCCGACATGGAACCCAACTAAGACTTTGGTTCTGCATGCGTTGTTTTATATTGTTCTTTTTTTCTTCATATACTCCGTTTCCGTAAGCCCATAGAAAACCATGTAAGTTTTTTTGCAGGTAGATTTTATACATTCTAGCTGTACACAAATTATTTTTAGGTGATTGATACAACTCAATTTGAGTTTGGTAATAGAATTATTTTTCAAGAGAAACTCGTGAAATAAATTCTAAATTGTTTAACGTGCAGTAGAAGAGATTTTTATATATGTTAGTCTAACATACAAGGATCTTTTCGATGAAGCTGTTAACGTTGTCATACAAATCTCTTTGCACCATATGTTCAAAACATACATGCAAAGACCTCAACCATTATACCATCAACACTATTATCATCATCACAATCATCACCACCATCATTATCACCATCACCATCATCATCGGCAACATCATTATCACCACCACCATCATCATCATTATCACCCCATCACCATCATCATCACCACCACCACCAACAGAAGAAGAAGAATGAGAAGAAGATTCACTTTGCATTACTCTGGCACTCGGTATTTTCAATGTTCACACGTACGGGCATATTTGATTCTAAATTTACCGAGTGAGCGAAACGAGCGAGCCACAAAATGACATTTGTTCATAATAATAATAATAATAATAATAATAATAATAATATTGGATATTTATAAAGCGCACATTTCCCACCCTGCAAGGTGCTCAAAGTAAGCGCTCTAAATAAGGCGTTCGGTGCGAAAATCGAAAGCTCGCTGTTGTATATGCCGTAGTTCTTGTTTTTGACGTTGCCCTTTTCCTAGTCATAAGCATAAAAAAATAAAGAAACATAAAAAGAACATACACTATTTGTAAACGTTGTTATACAGCGCGCGTCCCAGAAAAAACGAAACAGAGGACTATCGATATTTTATCATAACTTAATCACAATTATAATTACTAAATGACACATATTTGGAAAGCTTAGATCCTCCTCTTTCATTTGATGTAACTCATATGATGCATATTACGCATGAGTGATTAAAAGCAAGAGAGGAAACCAAAAAGTCATTTGGCGGGCGGTATCTGAATTTCAAGGAGAAAATCACATTTCTAGAAAGTTCAATTTCTGCCCTTTCATATGACACCTCAATCCGGAAAAATGAGCCAGGAATAACAAGGTTCTGTTTGTATAAAGTAATGCTTGCATTTCCATCATTTCATCAAACGAGTTCGTTTTCACTGGCTGCCTGCCGTTGCAACGAACAGAGTTGACAAAGACTTAACTCCGTTTCGTTGAAGATCAGCCATGCACAAATGGCCATGCATCAGGTCTTTCGTCTTCGTTGTGCATGGCTGATCGTCAACGAAAAAAAAAATGTGTCCTCTTACCCCCCCCCCCCCCCCCCCCCCCCCCCCCTCATGTCAACTATTAATGGAAGTACTGATCGGGTAGGTCCTACTGTGCCTTGACAAAACTTTACCGACTGTTACATAAACATGACCTCACTGAATAAACTGGATTTAAACTGTATGTCAAATCAACCCCATACACTCAGTCTGTTGTTTGAAACTATTCACAGAAATGCCTTTCTAAGAGCTTGCAGTATATTTCCATTATGCATGCAATGGTCGAATATGTATATAAATATGTGGCGTCCCTCCATCAGAAGTAGAGCATGTAGAGCTCGACACATTTCCGTACGTATTGATTTAGAATATGCCCCACGCTGTAAGAAAATGTATATATTCAGTGTCTGTGATTTTCAACCTTGAAACTTTTGTTATTTATATACACAATACTCAACGCTATTTCCCCATCAATATATCTATAGGCGGTGGCGTAGCTACGGGGTGCACAGGGGCGGATCCAGCCCGCCCCCTGGATCCGCCACTGGGGTGCATTTGCCCCCCCCCCCCACTCAGTGTTATTTAGGGTACGCATATGCGTGTTCCCTCCTTTTGAAAACACCCCCTAAGTCCGGTGTGTAAAGTCAATTTTGTGTTCTACGAGCCGGACTTTGGTGCGTGAAAAGTGGTGACACGACATTTGCTCCTGCGACAATTGCTCCGGGCTTTATTTCGTCTAAGATGTAGGGTTAGGGTTAGGGTTTCAATAGGGTTTTATGTTAGGTTTAGGGTTAGGTTTAGGGTAGGGTATAGTGTTGAATCCAGGGTTGAAGTTAGCCATTCGATTAGTGTATGAAATTTACAGCGGAGCAATTGTCGCCGGAGCAAATGTCATGGAATCTGAAAAGTACCCCGTTACCGGACATTTTGGTAACACGCATGCGGTCATTCCGACCCCGGAGTCGAGGGGGGGGGGGGCATGTGCCCCAAATCGAATGGCAACAAAACGAAAGTGAGGGAAAGATGAAGGAAAAGGGAAAACGTGAAATAGTATAAGGAGATATTTTGCCCGAAAATGCTCTTCAACGATTATATTTTATGTCAATGTAACTGATTATGATAAAGAAAAATCACGATCATGATGAATATTGTGTACTAAAACTGTAATCAGAAACTGACTTTTAATGCTTATTGTTCGTAAATATCCCCGCTACAATGGCAATATAATCTTGTAATCTCCACCAAACTAATATTCTTTTAGCAAGTTAAAGCATCAGTTTCGAAGATGGTGGAACAAAAGAAAATCGATTATTATTTTCTTTGAGTAAATAATTTTAAATAGGATCAGTATAAAAGGCATAAAGATGAAAAGATATGACCTCCGTCGTATATAGTTCTATGAGATTTATTTTTTTTAACGGAAACATGCAAACCACCTGTCAAAACTAATTATTGTATTATGGAATGAATATTCTCATTTAAGTCATAAAAGACCACTCTGTTGCATATTGGGGCTTATATGTACGCTCTCACAAAGTAATAGTTAAGGAAAAATGATAGTAATGATGATAGTGATAGTAATGATAATATTAATAGTAAAAGAAATGGTAGTAGTAATTGTAACAGTGATGATAACTTCTGGATTGATGAAGTAACAGCCGTAACACAATGTTTCTTGATATTATCATTATTGGTAGTCAAGTTTGGGGTTTGCGAATACTAGAGGTCTATATTGGTTATTTAGCCAGCAGTACTGCCCATATTGCATTTAGGTTTTGCCTGTAGATATAATATAGCTGAGAAAATTGAAGTCGGGCATTGTGTGCATAATAATAATAATAATAATGGGTTCTTGTATAGCGCTCATGTCTGTCAGACTTGACACTCCTGGCGCATAGTAGATGTTTCAAGGTTGAAATCACAATCATATACTGAATATATACATTTATCTCAATATGTACGAAAATAGATCGACCTCTGTTCATGCCCTAGTTATGTTGGAGGGGCGTAATATGATTATATTCGACTATTGCATATATCTTGAAAGATGCTGCAGACACATTGATAAGCATTTCTGTTAATAGTTTCAAACAACAGACTGCGTTCATTGGGTTGACATGAAGTTCAAATCCAGTATATTCAATGAGGACATGTTTATGTAACAGTTGGCAAAGTTGATCCAAGGCAGAATAGCTACGTGTAGATCCCACGCGATCACTTCTAACATAAATAGTTGACAAGGTATTCATAAGTACAGCTGTAGATGTTAGCTGTAAGTAAGAAATCACAGCTCCCTGGTAATACATATTCTTTGTCGTTCATCGAAAAATGTATTGGGGTGATCTGATCTGTGTCCTTGATGTAGACATAGCAAAAAACTATAAAAACCATACGGGAAAAGAGGGAGAGAAAGAGAGAGAGTGAGAGAGAGAGGGGGAGAATATGTGTTTGTGTCCGTTTCACTTTAAAAAGCAACATTTTCCCACTCTAAACGGGCAAGGAGTATATTCCCTTCGGGCCTGGTCAATCTGCCCCATCAAATTTTGACCATATATTACAGCGTTTTTCAACCAGGGCGCCGCCGTATGACCCCTGTGGTGCCGCATGACATCTCTAGGGGTGCGGCAAGAAAAATGTGGTTATAACCAAAAGAAAAAGAAAACTATTGATGCAATAACGTCGAGTTCATGAAAAACGAAGATTAGAAACCTCGACAGTTTGTAATTCACGAGGAAATAGCTTTCGCTCGCTCTCAAACTGCAGAAACAGAATGATTTCAGGCAGCCATGTGCATGGATACATATTTGTTGGCAAGGAGATGCCCGAATATCCTTTAATTTGACAGCGGAGTACCCAGATATATCTTATATCTTTTCTACCAAAATTACATCTTACCACACTAATTCGCTTTACTCGCTTGC